AGGGTGAAGTACAATAGCTCAGCTTTACAAGATCTAACTGTACAACATACTACTTTAGGATCAAATTTAAATTGTTAAATTTATTTTTTGAAGTTCCTTTGAAAGTCCTTGGTTCTAGGCAAGTCTCTTGTATTTTAAAGCATTCAGCTTCACGTTTGTCTGGTGGTTCTGCTGCTTACAGATACAATGGCATCTCCCATTGTGAATTTAAAAATAATTTTATAAAAAAAGTAAGTGACAAATATAGGAAGGGTGGGGTTCATCTTTCTGAATTGAGATATCTCTGATGTGTAGCAACTCTCATCAGATCACCAGTGCTCCATATTTAGTCAGTGGAAAGCCCATCTGGTGCCATCTGACCTCTCCCAGCCACCTATTTGGGACGCAATGAATCACTTCCCAAGGGTGTGTATTCCTCCTCTTTACCTTAAAGACAGCCCAAGGCATGTAACTCAAGATGTCTTAATTTTCAGACACTTCAGTTAAAGGAGATGCATCCCACTCCAGAATGTCAGAAGTAATGTTGTCTGTGCAACTTGAATTTGAGCCTTTGAGTCTTTAGTGACATAATTACACGTTGGCCTTAGCCCAGCTCTCTGACATCATCCATTGCACAGGAATGATGAGACTTGCTGGAAAAGGAACAGCTCACTGAGGGCTTTTTAAATAAAAGATATCTCCATTATTCAGTGCATAGCCAGTTGTGGTGTTTATCTTCAGCTATGAAATCCCATAGATAAATTCCCCCATGCTGCCAGGTTCTTCTGTGTCATACCCAAACCATGCATTATATATTAAAGTCTTTTAAGAGACAATACTTGCTTGTCAGGGAGACATTTTGTGCTCCCCAATGCTTGAGGTTTTGCTTTTTCAGAGTTACTGAGCACATACACTGCAACAGCTGCAGGGCCAGAGCACGGCTGCTGCCCGTCCCGCTTGCCGGAGCAAGCGCTGGCTGGGAGATCCTGGCTCTCGTGTCTTTAAGGCTGTACAGCCAAAAATGATGGGGGGGCATGTAGTGGCTGCCTTCAGGGAGCCTGGTTGGGTGATTTTTCCAGCTTCGTAACAGGAATTGGAGTGAGGTTTCTTGTCTCATGAGCAGCTTTACAGCATCTTAACGAAGAGTCATTCACTCCTTCCAGGGTCTGTCCCCTTTGCTGCAGATGTTTTCAGCTGAGTAACAGCCGCCGCAGAAGTCCTGTGATTTAGTCACTGTTTTATTCATATTTCTCAACAATTCATTCACTGTCTGACCTTGATTCATTTTTATATTCATCATCATTAGAAGAAGGCAGGGCACTTGGTGAAAAATACTGGTGTGTTCCTGTAATTGTAGATGTGCTCCTGTAATAAAGACTGTATCGTTAAGACATTTGTGCAGTAGGGAAGAGTGAAGGCTGCTCAGGCAAATACTCTTCCTGGGACAGACATCCAACCTGGAAAACTTCATCCTCAGGGAACAAGACTGGAAGAAGTTTGTGCTTTCAAAGGACAGGGTCTTGTAGTAGGGAGTGCTGAACCATTTGCAAGACCAACTTCTACATTTTATATATAAATATATAATTCTAATATAATATGCTTCTAATATATTATTCTTTGGCAGTGGATGAAATGAGGACGGGTGCTAGGTGTTACTGCCTATTGCGTGGGAAGTTTCAAAGATTGTCAGGGCTGGGCTGCGGTCCTCTCCCTGTTACCATTTTATTTTGCTTTTTAAGAGGAAAGCTTTTTCTTACAAATGCCCTATAATGATTTTAGTTTCAATTTCTGTGTAAAATACCTCACGCTGTAGACAGAAAAAGACTAAGTGTAAGAATTGAAGCCAAAGGAAGGATTAGACTGGAAATCCCCAAACTACGGTGCTCCTGATACTGGAATTAATGAGAAGCTGGTTACAGAGGTTATTTTGGGAATGCCTGCAGCCAGTGTTGCTTCGTTTGCGGGGGAAATGTCTTCCATCCCTGCTTTGCTGTGGGAGGAGACAGTGAGTAGTCACCAGTTAATACCTCAGACCTTCTGTGCTATTTATAAGCCATTTTATTCAGAAGCCCTCTGCGATGGTGTGCTCTACCTCCTTTATTTAGGGATGGCATTGGCAAATGGAGGGAGCTCAGTCTCCTTGCCTACAAGAGCACAAGGTATGAAGCAGGAAAAAAATGGTTTAAACGGAGAAGATAACAGTTGGGGTGCTATGCCAGGGGTTGAATCCTTGAGTATCTTCAATCATAGTGTCTTTATCCTCAGGGACTTGAGAACTGTTGTGCAAATCAGCCTGTTTTTTTCTAGATTAGCTCGTGTTTAAAAGAAAAAATAGCAAAAGCTTTTTCAGATCATTGTTTTTCTTCTGTTCAGAGCACATGTCTCTGCGCAGCTGTCAGCACTGGTGGTCAAAATTGTCTTGGGCAGGAGAAACAAGACTTTCAGGTTTGATTTTAAGCAAATGAAGATTATACTTTTTCAAATTCCTTTTTAAAGTACTCATTTGTTACTAAATTTCACACCGGTGTTATTTGTTTGAAACATATTTTAGACTTGAATCAAGCAATATTAGGCTTGAAACAAATTTTTTGTGTAGTAATGATGAGGCTAATGTACTTGTGCTAATGCATGCAATTCCTTCCTCTCTTGTCAAATGGAGTCAGGATTGCAGGGCGGTTTCTTGCCAGCCTCGGAGATTTCCCAGTAACCAGACTGGTTCTGTGGCTGAGACCCTGGTTGTGGTGATGGGAAGTCCGGGGGGGTGGGGTCACAAGTGTGGATTTATTTACAGATCTTCCCACTTTATTTTAAGGTTAAACTTGAGCGGCACACACTAGGAGACATTTATGTTGAATAATCAGTGTAGGCATTTGTTTTCTAAAAAAACCCCATTTTTATTTGGAGTAACTCAGAACTTTAAATGTCTCAAATCAGAAAACCCACTAAAGTCTGATCCAGCAACTCTTTAAGATTTATGCAGTAAACTAAGAACACAAAACGCCCTTTTTTTTCTTCACCCTAGTGTATAAATCAGTTTTAAGATACAATTTTCAGCTCTTCCATATAGTTTTGGCTAATTTTCCTGCAGGGGGAGGTGTAGAGTCAGAAATGTTGCTTTTTTGTTTAAACCTGCTGCTGTTTTTCAGCCTCCTTCCAGTTTTTTCTGCGCATTGTGAAGCTATTAATACATGATAGTAAGATCACAGCTATGAATTATGGCTTTCTTGCCAGGACCAGAATTGTATATGATGAGTTTTATTAACCCCAGCTGACTGTAAATAACGAGGAACCATACGGGTTTATTGTTTGATTTAAAGGTGTTCCAGCAGCAATTTGCAAAAGGGAAAACAGGGGGAAGGGGATTAAACAGAAAGAATGGCTACAACAGAAGGCTCTCTCCTTTATTCTGTTGTTTATATCAGTATTACAGGTATTTGTGTACACAAACACTTGTATTCTCACATATGTATGCATGTACTCACACACCACGAGTGAAATAGAGCGTATACAACCTCCTCTGGGTGGTGGTTTTTGTAGTTATTTTTCATCATTACCGAGTTTTGAATACATTATGTCTCCATTTTCAAACTCCAAGGATGGATCTGGGCGTAGGAAGACAGATGTTCCTGTACTAGTTTTCTTTCAACGCTGTAAAGTATTTATATTGCTACAGTCTCAATAAAAGCCTTTAAGTGTCTGCGTAAGGAAGAGGATTTCTTGTTAAATTTGTCTGTGCACAAGCCTAGCTAGGAATTTGTAGGATGCTCCTCTGATATCAAGACAGTCTGTTATTTTTAAATCTAAAAACCTTGCTATTAGAACTTGAACATGCTTTCTCTCTGTTATTCATACCTTATTTTGGAAAATACAATTCCCTGGCAGTGATATGTTGTTTTATAGTAGCTATTTGAGTTTCTGCCTTATTATTTTAATATTATATTTGTTTAGAAGATAGTTATTACCTCCGTGTCACCAGTTTTACAAACGGTAGCTTAATTCCTCACATTGGCAGCTTGTGAAGCTCAAGGCAAAGAGGAGGTATGCACAGCTGGTTTCCTCCTTGCCTTTCTCTCCCTATCAGTGTTTATTTAACACAGCTGTGAGAGCACCAAGCTTCATTTTGGGCTGTAACCACAGCTATGCCTGACAGTAAACCTTCCCTGAGCTCTGCAAGTGGGAATAGTTGTAACCCTGACAATAATGTCAGCAAACATCTCCAGGAGACTGAATTGGGAATTGAGGGATGGGGTGAATGTTGGTCCTGAAAGACCTTCATGTGTTGCCTCTCAGTTTTGGATGCTCTCCTGCAGTGGCACGTCAATTGTCTTTATGCTTTTGTGAGTTTGCTGTTAAGCAGATGACTGGAATTACTTTAAAATGGGAAATTAATCTCAAATCGAAAAGATCAACGCTCCTCGTGTGTGTTAGAGTGAGTCTTGCCCGACGATGGGAGATGATAACCTCGCTCCCTTGTGGCTTCACTGCAGCAAAGCTTCCTGATCCGATTTCTTCAGAGCAAGGTGCATTTTATCAAATTCTTCTTTGGTGCAGCTCTCTTAATAGCAAAATGTTACAATAGAGGCTTTGGTCATTGCCTCTGTGTTTATTAGCAAAATGTTGCAATAGAGCCTTTGGTCATTGCTTCTGTGTTTGTTAATTTTGAAAATACCTGTGTGCTTGAATGCTGTTTTACAACATGCATTTTTTATTAGAATTTGGAAAGGGACAGTTGACTCAGGGTCCAGATCAGGCCTTTTGGATAATCTTACCCATATTTGTGGTAGCTACCACAGTGGATCCAGACTATGGCTCATGAAGCCACTGCAGAACAAAAAAAAAAGAAAAAAACAAACAAACAAACCCCACTTTCATTTAATTATTTCTCTGAGGATTTTCTGTCCTCTCCTTGTGCTGTATGTTATGTGTGGTTTAGCATGGTTTAGCTTATTACAGATTTTGGCCCGATAACAGGTTCTTGTTTGTGTCTTCTTGAGTCTTTTGCTTCTCTGCTTCTCTTCCAGGCTCTTCTCGCTGCTCTTGCTCAGTTTGCTGCAGGTTGGGTTGCAAAGCTGAAGGGACAAGGAGTGAATTTGGGCTCAGCCTCTTTCCAGTAAGCTGGGGTGGAAGACGGGCTGGTCTCTGATGTTTTATTTTCAGTCTGATGAGACTAAAATGTGTTTTGGAGCTCCTTCTCCACCTCAGAGAGCCATAGCAGATCTGTGCTTTTCACAGGAAGGATGGTAGGGTGCTCCAGGCAGCTGACAGCGTGCACGCTGGAGAAAAAAAGTTGAAAAGCTGCTGGATGCTTACAGTTGTGCAGTTGTTTTGAAATCCACTTTACTCTGGCTGTGCCCACAATAAAAGTGGTCTCTTTGCACCTGCAATTTCTTTAAGAGGATGGCTGGTGCTTTAGCAATCGTTTCCCTCATGAAATCTGATAGGGGCCTTCTGGGGCTTTTTTTTTTACTCCTCTCTCTTTACAGCAACTTCAAAACCCTTTTAGTAAATCTAAACCTCACTGTTTGCTAGTTCATATCTAAGCTATAATTACCCGATATGAAGATGCAAGCACAAAATAATTTCCCAGGGATGTTTACACAAAAGGGAGTAACTCTGATTTTTTTTTTTTTTTTTCTCCAGTCCTTTGAGGAAAAATCTATGAGAGGATGAGTAAAGCGAAGAGTGATGATAGTGCAGCACAGATACAAATGTGATGATCTTACTCCGATTCTGTCGGGGTTTCCACTCCAGTGGCTTTCTTAAAGGAGCACTGTCAGAAAGAAAAATCACGCTGCTGGAAGCGGGTTGTGCAATCAATCACTGGCCACTGAGAAAGTGGGGGATCAGATGGATTCCCTTTTGAATTCAATCAAAACACACTTCAAAGGAACTAGCGTGTCTCTTGGCTGAGGTATTTAATCATATATTTGGTGCTTAGCTCCCTGTCGCAGTTGCTTAATGAGACTAGACGTTTGTAACCCCAGAAAAGAAAGGCCAAAAGATAATTATGCAAGTTATAAACTCTTTTCACTATAGATACCAAGTTTTAGGATAATTGCATTTTCTTGGGGTGGCCCTTGAGCAGACTGATTTACAGAAAATAATGACTTTCTTTTTTTTTTTTTTTTTTTTTTTCCCACTGCTAGATTGGTATAAACTACTGTTTTCTAACCTGTAGTCCCTGCATCCCTGCAGTGCCTGGGTTATTTGCGAGGGCTCTGTGAAAAAAAAAACAAAGAAAATTGTGTCTTCATATGATCCGCAGCAGTTACATACGAGAAACTTCTGAAGGGCCTTATATTGAAGAAGGTGGAAAAGTGCAGTGTAGACAGACTGAAGAACTTGATGAATGTGCTCAGCTCCTCCTGGAGAGGCCAAATTTGATGGCCTTTCCCCGTGCAGAAACCTTCTGAGTGACTGGTTGCAGCAGTATGTGTTCCCAGCTCTAATTAGTGTGAGATTGCAAACCATTATATGCCATATGGAGCCTCCAGTGTTCCTGATCATCCTTGTACTTGAGAAGACCACAGTGTGCTGCCGGTGCTTCTTTCTGCTCTGCCCCTTGTAGCAGCCCCCATGGCCAGATCAGCCATACATCGCTGCTCTGGCTGATGCAGCAAGAGCTGAGTGACACACATCATCTGTAAGGAGTGATTTTTTAGGTATTCCGTGGCTAATTATTAAACTCGGAAAAAATATGTGGACATTAGGACCAGCAATGATTGAATCGTGTCATTTCAGGAAAGCACAGATTGTTTTATTCTCTTTCTCTGGAACTAGAATCTCAAACAGCTGGGGATTTGTATTTCCCTTTTCGTCAGAAAAATGCAGTGACCCTTTGCACTGGGTCAGCCCTTATCGGCAGGCTGGGGGAGCAAACCTGAGAGAGATAAATGCACCAGAAGTAGGTATCCCACCCCTTTTGTGGAAAAACAAATGTGGATTAAGATGATTGTGGTTCTGGAGAAGTGTATAGATAATTTGCATTACTTCTTTCTGCATCTGAATAGAGTATGGAGCCTCGTAATAATCCTTTACTTCCCACAGCTCCTTTTGGGGGCATCAGACATGTTCCTGTGTGAAATTTATTAATTTTCTCACAATTTCTTTGTCCTTCTCCTCGGTCCTCTGTGGGATCTGCATCAGATTTGGTTCTTGGTGTTTATGTTTGGTTTCTTTAGAGAAGAAGTCAAACTGTTTACATTTACTTTCTGGAATAGACTTGGAGAGTGCATCAACTTTCTTCTGTGAAACTTTGTTTTGTATTCAGATATAAGATTCACTTATATCTATGGATTAATCTAGGCATCTTTGTTGAAAGGCATCAGAATTGTTTGCCTGTTTTCAATTTGCTTGGTTTAGGGGAAAAAAGAGTAAAAAGGAGAGTAATGTCCCCTCAGTCAGGTTTGTTGATATTTCAAAATGAGGTTTACGAGTGTAAAAACTCCATGTGTTTTCCCAGTTCCACATCGTTATCCTTAGCTCAGCATATTGCCGGGGGAAGCAAAACTGTTTTATCTCTGCAGATGTGAACACCGTTCTCTTAAGTGGCTCATGGTATGTTTTGATTTCTCTGTTTTCTCTCCAGCTCATCTCTTCTAGGTAACTACTCTGGGGTTTTGCAGTCTTGGACCCAGAAGGCAGGTGGTGTCTGTTTTACCCTTTTCTTCTGCAGCTTGATACTCTGCTCAGCACTTGCTCTGATGTTCAGCATTTCTTCCTTCCCAACACTGTTCTCAGCAGGCATTTCTGTAGCGTGGGAGTGGAGTATAATGTCCCTCTGGTCTTAAAAGTGTGAAAAAGCTCTTTCCTTCAGGAATTAAACAACTGATCTTCCATCCGCTTGCTGATGTACTGTCCTCTTAGCTTAGCCCAAAACATTTGTGTAGGCTCTAAAGTAATTTAGCCTTTCCCATCTCAGCTGACAACACACCCCAGCCAACTAGCTTTTCTGTATGTTTTAACATTTAATGATGATGCCTATTTCTTTTTAACCTCCCACTTGGTAGGAGACCAGGTGGGGTATGTCTGGAGGGTCTTCTGATTAATCCCTATTTAAGACAGTTTTCATTGTATATAGTGATGTAGGATTTCGTAAGTTTAAGCTGTATGTATTAGTTGGCACAAAATGGCAAAGTATACTTTAGTTTTGACAGTAACTGCGATCTTTGTGGTTAAATAGAGTTTTCAGTGTCTGCTCTTACCTTCTTTTGTAAGTACATGAATTTAAGAAGTGCGCAGGTGTATCAGACATGTGTCTGGTTTGGTGTTTTGTATTGTATAGTGGCACCAGGAGACACTGCAGAAGAACACACAAGTCCGGCAGCTTTCTGCAGCATGTTTTTTGCACCCCCAATGCTGTCTCGGAAAAGAAGCTTGTGTCAAACCCTGACACCCATCATAACTTACACAAGGAAGTCATTACATATCTACTAATGAATTAGGTAACCCCTCAATGGGCTTCAGAAGAGCAGCCCTCCAGACTGTTTATGAAATACCATTTTTTCAATCAATTTGGAGCTATTTAGGCAGCCTCTTAACTCTTCCCTTCATGGTTTTACTGTAAGAAGGCTGAATGAAAAATATGAAGTCACCAGAAATCAATTATTCTGATTTGGGGACACACATATTAAAATGCCTTGCTTACAAAGATCCAGATATTACACAACAGAGCAGAATTTGAGAACACTTGGATCCCTGATCTGTGCATTTCTGTAAACTTAGCTTGTTTGGATTACTTTTTTGTTTGGGCTGTGATTTTTCTATTTGTTTTTAGGGTAGTTGAACCTTCTTTATAAGGTATTTGACCTTAAATTGCTGGTGTGCCCAGGTAAATCTGAGCTCTAGTGTAAATCTGGCTGGATAGTTTGGAATTTAAGAAAAAAAGGAAAACAACAAAACCAGAATGTCATCACAAAATTTTTCCCAACTTCAATAGCTGAAGAAATTCGAGTTGTTTTTGCGTGTTCTCAGTGATACTAGACTTGGTGTGAACTGTGGGGGAGAGCCTGGTATGTTTGAGAGCTGTGTTTGCTACTAGCCCCAGGTGCAGTCCTGCTGCGATTAAAGCTCTAAATTCTAAAAGATAACAACACTTCGCACTGATAGCGTCTCCCGACATGGTTCAGTCCTTCCAGCTGCAGAGTTTCTTCTTTGTTACATCTGATCACGACCCGTGCTGCCGGCTGGCAGCGGGGACCTTCTGCTCCGGGTGCTGGAAGCTTGAGCCGGCGTCTCCGTCGGCGGTGTGGATTCGTGCCGTGCTCCGTGGGGCTGGGAGAAGGTGGCCTGGCGCTGGGTCGCCCTCGCCGCTGCCCCGGATTCCTCGCCTTGCTCTGCTTCTGCACTTCTGTCATAATATTGACTTGCAAACAGACAGCTTTTTTTTTGCCAGTTGCTATGGTTACCTCTCAGCTACCCGCATCTCAACTGTGGAAACCAGTAACAAGCAATACATTTCAAGCCTTAATGAAATGCACAGCAGTGTGTTAAACTTTTAAACCCAACATGAATATCACTAAGCAACATCCATTCGTGATTTGCCATAATTACTGCTGCAAGCTCCTTACGATTGAAATGCTGGAGCACAAGTCTTTCTCCTCTGCTGCATCAAATACGTTTTTCTGCCGGTAGCTTCACAGTATCTCAGACCTGTGATGTTTCACAGTCCCTTCACAGTTTCAAAGAACTAAGTTTGACCTCTTTAAATTATTCACACCTTCAGACCAGCAACATTTCCAAAATCTCCTTTTGTGTCAATCGCCTGTTTTCTTCCCAGAAATTTATTTTAAAGAGCTTTGATTCTTCTGCCCTAGTTCCAAGATGCGAATCCGACTTGTTTCCTCCAAGCTGCTGCTTGCGTGTTTGGAAGAACCAATTCCACCAAACCAGTATTAGTGTTGAATTAAAATGTGTGTGTAGTTGGTGCTTGGAGCTGTTTACACCAGAAGGAGCCGATGCCTCAAGTCTTTTGAGGTGATAGTTTTCTGCTAAGAGGTCTCACTTAGTGTCTATCCTGAATAATGCATTTTATCCATCAGTTTGAGAAGTGAACTAAAACTGGACACTGTTTATATGTCCGCACTCCAGGCTTCAAGTCCAGTGATTAATTGTACCACCCAATGCAATAGCAGTTCTTCAGTTAGTTGCATTGTACTTGCAGATCGGGTGGTTCCGAATATCTCTCATGCTGTGGCCAGATTCTCTGTTGATCAGTCTGATTTCCTGTATTCTGTTAATATTTTACATTTACAGCACCAGAGTTACCAATCATAGAGAGGAAAAACTGGTTGATCTACCTGCTGTATGTTCGCAGAGACTACGATGAGTGTAAGGTAAGAGCTGCTTTTGGGACTTTGTATTAGGAAGTATTTTACTCAGGTAATGAAACGAGTATTCATTTCATTTTCCAAACCACTCTCTTTCCTCACTTCTTTTGGAATAAGGGGACCGGAAGAAAACACAAGTGAAATGACTTAAGTGTTCTCAAATCCTTGGCTACCTTCAGCATCCATGAGTACTGTTCTCTGGAGTAATCTGTGAGCTCAGTATGTCTTTGGGAGTGGAAAAATGGAAAAAATTGCAAACCTCTCTTGTTCCAAGTGATGGATAGGGTCTTCCAAACTGATAATAATGCAGTTCCGTAGTGCAGGTCTCTCGATAATTGTCGTGGTTTAGGCCTGATTGGCAGCCAACCACAATGCAGCAGCTCTCTCTCCCTTCCCCTCCGGCAATGAGAAGGGACAGAGAGCCAGGCTTGGGGTTCAAGATAGGACTGGGATGGGGAAAAATCCCCCTTTTATGATCACGAGCAAAAGGCAGACTCGTTAGGGGAAGAAAAAAAAGAACATACATTTATTACAGACACTAACAACACATAACAAAGTAGGACAGTGAGAAGCATTGCCACATCTTGAGAACACCTTCCCCCACCCCTCCCTTCTTCCCGGGCTCAGCTCTGCTCCCAGATATCTCTACCTCCATCCCCAGGGGCGCAGGGGCAGGGAATGGGGGGTGCAGTCAGTGCTGCCATCTTCCTTCATGCTTCGGTGAGGGGAGTGTCCAGAAACTTGTTCCTCCTGCTCCATCGTGGTCCCCCTCTCACAGGAGACAGTCCTCCACAAACTTTCTCCGACTTGAATTCCCTCCCACGGGCCGCAGCGTTCCCCACACTGCTCCGTCATGGGTCACTAACTTCCTCCGACTGGATTCCCTCCCACGGCTGCAGCCCTTCCCGAGCTGCTCCGGCGTGGGACACCGCCGCATGCTGCAATCCTCCCAGCACTGAATTACAGCAGCAGGGATGCCTTCTCCCATGAGACCCCGGCCTTCTTTGGGCACAGAACCTTGATCAACCAGGCACAAAACACAGGCTGTAAATCAATGTCTTCTCCACCGCAGATCTCCATGGGTGGCAGGGGGGGGCCACCCTGCCGTCTCCCCACAGGATACAGGGGGGTCTCTGCTCCGGCACACCTTGCCCCCCCTTTCATCCTCCGTTCCTCCACTGACCTTGGTGCTCACGCAGCTGCAGCGACTCCTCCTCACCAGTCCCACTGCTCCTCACCACGTCCCTTCTTAAATACGTTATTGCAGAGGCGCAGCCAATTGGCTCAATTTCCCAAACAGAAGTGGAGCTGACTTGGAGCTGGGGGAGCTTCAAGAAGCTTCTCACAGGGGGCTGCCCCTATAGCCCCCTCCCCTGCCACCAAAAAACTCCACCACTCACTCAACCCAGGACAGATAACACTACAGAGGCGCTGCAAAAAACACTTCAATTGAGTAAAACTTTACTACCAAGTCTAAAAAAAAAAAAAAATGATCTTGGTTAGCCTTGAACAAAATTCTTTCATTTTACACATGATACATTGCACTCTTTAATTTCTCCTGGGTTTGGTGGGTAGCTTGGAAGCGGATGTTCATTTGGGATTATAAGGGTAAGTGGACTAAGGAATGGCAAATCTGTTATTAAACTGTGTTTTGCTGATGAAACAAATGCAAGCTATTGAAGATGCTGCACCAGTGGGCAGCAGGAGGGCAATAAGAGAGCTGCCTGTTTCTGTCATGTGCAAAGATCTGAAAATACTTTTTTTTGCTTCTGGAACACCAGCGTTGGTCAGAAGTTGTCTCTCTCTGCTGGAGAGCTCCTGGGGGTGCTTAGGAAAGGGGCAGGCTGGAGGAAATTCATTTTGCTCTTAACTAATGGAGCTGGAGGGTTGTATCATCAGCAGAGTGATTTCCTCCCAGATCTTGGTTTAAATAGATATAAATAAAAGTTGGACTAGCAATCTAAATAGAAAATTGTTTCCCTTTTCTGTTGCTCTGACTGCATTTTTTTGGTCTTTGAATGCGTATGTTTACTGTTTTGGTGATGTGATGTAGAATCAGAGTGCAGAAAAGATGTATGGCTCAGAAAAACAGATTAAATAGCCAAGTAGATGATATAATTGCAACATTGACTTCTCCATGTCTTCATCAGTCACGGAAGCAAGCAAAATACGGGGAAAAAAAATAAAGAGGAGACAACTGTGTTACTTGTCAGGCCAGCTTTGCAGTAGCAAAGCCTTTCTTCAGAGCTCACAAAGGAGGGGTTTTGGAGTGGAGCTGGAAGAGTTTAGCACCAGACCATAGCACTTAAAATGATCTTCCCTCCTTTTGCCCAGATGCGATGGATGTGTGCTCAGGGGCCTGGATTTGTCCCAGAGCAGATAGGCTCCTCAGCATGCCGGGATGCTTTGTTGGTCACTGAGGAATGATAGGCATGTCCAGAAGGCATTCAGACCTTAGGTGGGCTGGGCTGCCCTCTGGCAGGCTCTGTCTCTCTCTGCTGGTGTTGGGTGGGGTTACGGATCTAACCTGGGTGCCCCGGGTGCTTACCCTTATACATGATGAGCATAGACATTCCCAAACATGCTGTTTGGGGCTGATAACTTCAAAAATGGAAGAGGTATTGACAGTATCCCCAATAGCTTAAATTGCTGTTAACTCCTTGGTTTCACTGTAGTTTGGGCATGTGTTAAAGTCCATTAATTTTCTTTTAAGTCTCAGCTAAGAAAGGAGCGACCTGTGACGCTATTAATTTTAGTCTGAATATTGCTACACCCCGCTCAGTGCTTTGAAATGCTTCCTCTCTAACACAGTTTTAAAAGCCCTCATATTTTTCAATGATGTAAAAGACCAAGAACAAACTGTTTGTTTACCAACATTAGCTCTCCAAAGTGAAGGCATCAAATTGATTTTAACCCTTACAGTGCCACTCCTGCATCTATTTTGGTGTTGCCAAGCTTTTGACAAATTTTGCTGCTTGTTACAACAAGGGATTAATAATGCTGGCTGTTTGATTCGCCTCTCATTCTAGCCAGCGAGACGCAAGGAAAACATCCCCCAGAGCCTGCGGCTGCAGCATCTCCTGCGTTCGCACAGGCAGAGAGGAGTGGGGGGAGCGGAGGGACAGGCCCTGCTAAGCAGCCATCATCACTCAGCTCTTGCCCTTCACATGCAAAGCTAATAAACGGTGTTTTCTCCTTGCAGCATCAACTACAGCCCTGCCCCCAAACCATTTTTCACAACAGAAATCTTCTGCTTCTGTTATGTGCGAGAAAGGAATTATTAAAATTACCAGATGCTTTTAATTAATTAAAATCGCTCACGCTGGCTGGTCTCCTGCCAGTGTGTCTAAATTCTGTTTGCGGGTGAAATAAACCTGGGAGGAAAAGCTGGGATTACAGATCGTATTTCTCAGATCAAGGCCTTTTGCTACGGGATTTTTTAGGGCTTATAGAATTAATCAGATCCCTCAAAAAGATAGCTCTCTATTGCCCTCTCTTGCTCTGAGAAACTGGTTTTATGTAGATGGAGCAATATAGAGTATCTGTATTAAGGAAATGCTTGGTTATCTCCAAGTTGTATGTCCTATAATAATGTCCTTTGTAAAGAGTAAAATATAGAGATATTAGCAGATACAGATAAGGGGAAGAGCAGTCTAGACTTGTTCTTCCTTTTCTGTCCTCTCTTTATTTTTCTTTTTATGAGCGAGGATTCTCAGCAATAACCCTCCTTACCTTCACTCCACTTCCCTTCTGCATGGTATATTTGAGGTTCAGTTTTCCTCCTTCTTTTCAGGGCCTTCACTTATATTCTTCCCAGAGGCAGGGGATGCTGGTGCTGATCATACACTTGACAGAAGTGCCAGATAAGCATCAGGTTATTGCTAGCCTAGACATCTTTCTTTCCCCCTTTGTGTCTTTCACTTCCAAACAAAAGAGGAGTCTCAGAGCAGGAATGATGTTCTTGGTTTGTAACCAGACTGCTCATCCTCCCAAAGGTCACTCTTTTTGACCAGTTTTATAATTTCGGGTCATGTATGACTACGGAATATAGCCAAACTGTACCCATACCCCAAACTGTCAGCTGCATGAATGCAGCCAGCAAGAATTTACATTTTCATCATTTTTTTTCCCCTTCCTTTTCCCATGTACTCGTCATTTGTTCATTTGGCTTTCATTGACTCAGCTGCAGTTGCTCCAATTCAATTTATTTCTTCACAAATGGTCTAGAGTAGATACCCTTATCAGCAGAGGATGCTTTCAGAGATTCCTTGTGGCATTTTCCCTAGGTAATATCTAATTATCTTTGCTAATAGGAATGAACAGAGAAATACTAAAAGGGCTACAATATTCCTGGCACAATGCTCTTCACACATGGTGATGAGCTTGCACTCTTCTGTGCACTCTTGCAGTTGTCTCAGCTGTAGTCCAGTGCCTTTATTATATATGAGGTTGTGGTTTCTGTAACTGAAACCAAATCTTTGTCAGTAGTTTTGTTAAAATGTTGGAAGTTTACAACTTTTATAGCATTTTAATATCATATATTGCAGCATTTAGCTACAAATTCTGTATTAATATTGACTTTTCCAAGCACAAATTCTGATTAAATGAATTTTGTAGTTCTTGTGTCCTGTGTGATACCACTGTTACTGTCACATAAGGAAGAACTGTGTCCATCAACACGTTGCATGATGTTTAAATTCAAGTTATTTTAGGGCATTCTGCAATAAACATGGAGACAGCATGGCTATATGTAGCACATACAAAAAATTCTTCAAATCAAGGTTGCAGGACGTATTTGGCTAGTCAGAAATCAATTTTCTTTTATAGGAATTGCCTTTATTAAAATATTTGAAGGGTTTATATTCTTCTGAAAGCTGCCACGTTGCGGTTTAGTAATGGGGTAATAGCGAACCAGGTAACAGGTTTCGCGGTGAGGAAGGGTGCATTTGGTGTGTACTCTCTGCACTTTGTCATTTCAGGCAGTCATCAAAGAGCAGCTCCAGGAGTCTCACGGGCTGTGTGAATATGCAGTCTACGTTCAAGGTATGTTGCAGGAGGCCTCCGAAAGTCTTAATTTTGCTAAAGCAAGTTACTTCTGATTTGAAATACAGTGAAAAATAAGAAGGGGAACAGGTGACAGAAACATAAAATTCATATGTAAGAAATATTTGGCTTTTTTTTCTGCTTGCTAGGTCTAGTTTTGAAGTTTGGGTTTTTCACATGAAACGGGTAGATTAGATTTTCTGTCTCCTCTGTACCGATGAGCTTGGCGTCAATTCCTCCTTGGACTACGGGGCTCTTGGTGTGTTCTTGAGTCGTGTGCTTGATGGTGTTACAGATGCATGTTTTCTGTTAGAGCTACCCCGAGTGATTGTTGTCTTACTGTTTGCTTTAAAGATGGTACTCCTCTTCCTGTCCTGCCTACTGTCCCCTAAAAAATGTGCCCCGAAACTTGGCATTGCAATTCAAAGTGCCATGATGGGGGACAGCTGAGATTTTTTGGCTAGGGACATACTGCAGCCTGCAGAAGCTGGGGAGGGGAGAAATCCTGATTGCATCTTAATGAGCAATTGGCCAGGATTTAAAGCTGCCCTTGTTCTGAAAAACACAAACTTTTTCAGGCATGCACAAGTCCTTTGCATGCGTTGTCATTCTGCCCTCAGATACATACAGCTTCTGCCTGAGGTTGCTGCAGGAGGGGAAAAGACCACATGAGCATTGTTACAATACATCTGCACCCCTCCTTCTTTCCCTGCTGTCAGCAAGGCATGTTTTTCCTGCAGATAACGGACTAATTTGCCCTGTGTATGTTGTCTTACAGCTTTGATATTTCGCTTGGAGGGGAAAATTCAAGAATCTCTTGAACTTTTTCAGACATGTTCCATACTGAACCCTCGAAGCGCTGACAATCTCAAGCAGGTGGCACGATCGCTGTGAGTGGTGTTTTATTGTTTCTCTCTGATGTGCCACCCAGGACCTTCCATGTTTTGTTTTTCTCCCAGGCATCAATTGAAATCCCAGGCTGCTTAATTCCAAACATGCTTCCTCCTTATCAACATCTGAGTTGGCTTCCAGAAGCATGGGCTACCCTTAAAAGCAGAATCTCTTATCTACCTGTCTGCTACTGTATTTTCTTTGTGTGCTTTAAGCAAGAGAGGTAACGGACTGAGTTCTAGGTCCAGAGCTAAGGGTGCTGACCTGAGCTGTGTAAACTTGCCTACAGAGCCCTTTCTGTGTCTGAATATCTGGCTAGATCACCTGTCTTTTTCCTTTGAGACAAAGGCAGACCGCAGAGCCTGTGAATTCATTCCTTGCATCTCCGGTAACATCAGGGAGTGGCTCAGCATCTTGCAGGATTGATGTGCTTGGCCCTGGAAGGGAGTGGTGCTCTAATTGTAATATTGCTGAGATTGTAAACTTCTCAGGGCTGCTCGTGCAGGTCTCTGGAGAACTAGCAAATAGCATCATTTCTCACTGGCAGAAGTGAGAGTGGTTGCACAGTAGGGTTTCAGAGCAAGAAAAAATAAAAATTGAAATGCTTTCACAGGTTTCTTTTGGGGAAGCACAAGGCAGCCATTGAAGTGTACAACGAAGCAGCTAAACTTGATGAAAAGGACTGGGTAAGTGTTTCAGTGACTTGCAGATTATTGTAGTATGCAGATGTTTCTGCAGTTTTATGAAGACAGCTGCAAACTTGTTCCGAGCAGAGGTGAGCTCATGCTGCCTGCAGTCTGGGCAGAGGAGGAGCTGCAGGGCTGGGAGGCATTGCCTTTTAGCACAGGCTCACAGGCACGGATGAGCCTCTGCAGCGTCTGGTTTGGATCACAGGAGCAAGGCATCATTTCTACCTGCAAAATCTCACACCCTGTCTTGGGGCACAGAGAACCAAGTAACATGTTTGAGCTTTACAAAGTGTCAGTATTAACATAGCCATATGTATACCTTAAGGAAAGTATGGGAAGTAGCTCCCTGTTTGGAAACCTTAGTTATCATTAAAACTTGCTTGAGTACTTTGGAAAGCTTTTGTAATGCAAAACACCATTGAAACAGATTACCCTCAAACTGGCCAAGAGGGTTACTTGTTACCTTCCAAGCATTACTTGTTTTGGCAAAACATAGGCTGCTACAGAAGCAATAATTAAATTAACTCTTCTGTATAAGAAGACAAAGAGTGAAGGAAGATCATTGGGAAGGGAACTGTGTGACAGTGGGTGAGAGGAGAGAGGAATTGCGGGCAGCCTTCTTCAGGTGACTGTTTTGCCTGCAGAAGTGCTGTTTCTGACATAGGCTTGCTGCATGTGGTCTCGTTCCCTACGACATCAGACACTCACTGACTTTAGCCCTACGTCTGACGCTCAGTATGTCTACCATTCAGGCTTGATACAAGGATATGTTTAGTATTATTCAACCTATCCTGTCCCAGACAACTCAGAAACTTTTATACTGTGGGTCTTCTTTCAGGTCTGCGTTCCCTTAGCTAACCAGGCTACTTGCAGTATGCACTTGGCGTGCCTATAACCCTGTTTACAAGCACAGCAGGCAGACTTCAGTGGGTATTTTGATTAGTTATTTCCCATATCTGGCTCAACACTGGAAGTAGGGCCAGCCTGCGTTCTTCCCTTGTGCTGCCTCATTCTGCAAGCCACAGTAACCAGGAGTTACCGATTCATTACTCTTTTCCACAGTTGGAGAGACTGTGTGGAAGAAAATATCATTCTAAGAGGGTTAATGGGGAAATAAGAGAGTTTCCTTTCAAAGATCAAGGCTGTCTAAGCTGATGAAGCAGTGAAATGCTCACCAGAATAGAAACAAGGAACGAGTGGACCTTGCTTTTCAGCTCCCCAAGATGTGCCAGCGTGGGGAAGGTGGCAAGCAGCTTGTCTGTTAAACTGTTGATGGTGAATTAGAGGCATGATTGTTCCCTACAGTGTCACCAGAGTGTTTAGGATCCCTAAGCGATCTTCCTACTCCGTTTCAAAATTGTTTAAGATGCCAGGGGGATATCAGCCCTTCTGGTGCTCGACTTCTATTTTGGAAAATCAGGCACATCTTCAGATTTTGTCCAGGTGGGTGCGGCATTGTGCACGCCCTAATGACTGCACAGCTAGATTGAGAGGCACCCATAAGGGCAACTTGCTACTTTCAGAGATCTCGCCGGGAGCTGAGTCACATTTCAATGATGAAATGAGTCTTTGCTCCTTGGTCTCTAAAGAGACCATTGTCATTTCCTTGGTTTTTGCCTTGATGGCCTGTAGTCTTTTGTGTACAATCACACTTGAACTCTGTAGGCTCCTGGAGTAACTTGAATTTATAGGTTTACTTGATTTGCAAGGCAAGAAGGGTGTGGGCTGGCACAGGGGTCTCCCCATCCAGGTCAGTGATGACTGATATCACTGGCAGATTATGTAGCATGAATTTCATACCTCATGCTGATTTGGGTTTGTTTGTGGTTTGTTTTTTTTTTTTTTTTTCATACAGGAGATCAGCCACAACCTAGGTGTGTGCTACATGTACCTCAAACACTTCAACAAGGTAATGCAAATGCTCATCTTGTCTACCTGACAAATGGGAAGCAGGGTTCCCAGAGATTTCACTTTCTTTGGTAGTTGGAAGTGGATCATTTGCACTGGATTTGCATTTGCACTGGATAGGTATCAAGGAAGCTTTTTGCTTCAGCATTTGTTTCTGGGAGCAAAAGTCTGTGAGCTGTCTCTGTTTTCATTTGCATGTTGAGTTACTTTGAGTCAGCTGCAAGTTAATGAAGTTGGGTAAGAGTGGCATGGAGGTTAGCCTTGTTGCAGGTCAGGAGGCTTTTTCTGAACTAGGATTTTTCAGAGTGTTTCTGGTTTTAAAGGGAATGCTTGAAAAACCTCAAAGAGCCACCTTTAACTAGACAGAAAACCAGTTGTGGTCCAACAAGAGCTGCTTCTGTTTCACAGTCTTTTAAAACCAGGACCATAAACACTGCTGGTTTTGTCAGGAGCAGCAATCCGTAGAGCATGCCAGTTCCATCTTCTTGAAAGAGAAGTGTGATGGTAAACACCCAAACCGTTTCCCCAGCGTACAGCTCAAACTACTGCACCTCATGCAGAGAGTTTCTGAAGAAAACCTGCTGCCCCTTGGGTCTGGTAGGGTTCAGAGAGAAGAGTTACGGGGTTGGTTTGCAGGAGGTGCGGCAGGCACCTTTTTTCCTCTATGTAAAGGTTTTGCTCCTGTGTCTGGAGCTCCTTTTGCACCAAACCTGGAGCAAAAGTCAAAAAAGAGCATAGCTGCGGCGTGGGCAGCACTAACTTCATTAGTTTTGTAGCTAATAAAGGACTTGCTGGAAGCTTGAAATGGAGTTTTGTTCCCAGGTCTGAGGATGCCATTCCCAGCTCCTCTCTTAACCTTCCCCTAGGTGCTTGTGGTGAGCACTGAGCTGTCTCTGATCCCGTGGGGATCAGGGATTACTTTGTAAGGGAAAAACCAGAATTTAGAAACCTTTTGTTCCCACTTTGGCCCAAGTGCTCCCTGCTACTCTTTCTGGTGGAGTGCTGTGGCCCTTGCAGCAAACCGCCGCTGCGTTCTCTGTTCGAGGCATCGCTGTAAAGCAAGAAGCTCTGGAGTATAGGTTCATACTTGGGATTTGTTGTCTGCACTAACACCTGCCAAACTGGGACCTGCTGACATCTCATCTGAGATGTACTGATCACCCTGGGTGGCAGTACTTCCATGAGGATGTCTGAAATAGAAAGAAGCCTTTGGGGATGGCTGTCTCTTCAGTAGTTGCTGGTAACGTATATCCTGTATTGCAGAGTTCCATAACTGTGTCAACATTTCTCTTTCTAATAAATCACGTGCTCAGAGACTGCAAACATCCTTTGCTGTCCTGCTGGCTAGGCTTGAGGAAGTAAGAGGTAGACATGCTTCAAAGTGTCTCCTGGTGGAGGGGATCGGTGTGTGCCTGACAAAAGCTGATACGCTCCTCCTGTTTACTTTGCAATCCACGCTCGTTGCTGGAAGAAGCATTTTGGTGAAGAATAAACTGTAATGTACCTGTTAACCTAGCAAATCTGGAGATTCCCTCCAAACCAAACAAATTCAAATATAGGAGCAGGCCCGTACTCCTCTCCTCCTTGGGAGGTCATTGCCTCTTCTCTTGGCTTGAAACACGCTGCATTGCCTTTTTCTGTCCCTGAAAACACGTGGCTCCTGATGCAGAACTTGTTTCAACAATTAGCTGTGCTGGGTTTTGCTAGCAGGGTTCTCCGAGCGCCGGGGGTGTTAGCTGTTCTCTTTTCGCCAGCTGCTGGGGATTGCTCTTGGGCTATTGCTTCACCGAGGTCTCCCTAATCACTTTTTTGTTTTGTTCTGTTTTTGTATTATTCTCTGTGGTTGTGTGTTTAGGCACGAGACCAGCTAAACAATGCCCTGGAGCTCAACAGGCATGATCTGACTTACATGATGCTGGGGAAAATTCACCTTTTGGAAGGGGAGACGGATAAAGCCATTGAAATCTATAAGAAAGCCGTAGAGTAAGAATATATCCTTTTTTCTATCTGCCCATGTCCTATCCTCTGCCAGGAGAAATTTGATTGGTGTCCCAGATCTGAATTGAGGACATGATTAAAAAGCTAATGGTAATTATAGTGTCTCTGTGCAAAGCTGGCACTTTCAAGCTCTTCAGCTGTCTCTGCTCTCAGCTGTAGTCCTCTTCCTGCTGACAATGTGTCAGGGAAGAAGGTAGATGTTTGAAGGTCTGCCAAAAAAAAAGTGAAAAAACAAATGGACAGAGATGCCTGTGAGCAAACCTATCCAAAACTGACTTCATAAATCCCAAAGGTTTATCTACCAAAAAGATCTAACCCCGGGTGTCTCTCTAGCCTTGATTGTCTGTCAAAAATCAGTTGCTGGGTTTCACATGCTGTTTTCACTTGGAGTGATTGGTGTTTGAAAGTGTGTGAGTAGGCAGACTAGAGGTGGGTTGGTGCACAGTGAGTTTCTCCCACCATCTCACTGTTTGTCAGTACCTATCTGTCTTGTTTTAGGGCATTCCTGAACATCTGATTTACCAAATCTTTTAAAATGTAGTTTTGTAAAGGAGGCAAACACTAAAGAAAAGCAGGAGCATTTCAGAAGCCACTGGAGGATCTACATTTTGTACCAGCTCTCTTCACATACTGTTTCCTTACACGTTTGCTTTTGGGTGCTGTCTGAGAGTATATTGGGTTGGGCAGACTTTTGGACTAATATAGACAGTTTATTACATGAATAATCCTTGCTAAGCATTTTACCAGGTTTATATATCTCACTTTGGTGCTCCCCTGACCTTCCTTCTTCCTCACTCCTGTTTTTGGTTGTTTTTTTTTTTTTTCCCTCATCTGTCTATTACATTTTGCCTGCTGTTACCAGCTCCACGATATAGTCTGTTGTTGCTCTGTGTTTATATACCATCAGACACGGGTGGTTTTGTTCTGGCTGAGGTTTGAAGGTGCCAATGTGTGTGTGCATATTGGATTTCTTAAGTCTTAATAGCAGGGAATTACTTCTGTTAAGGTGAGTGAGGCTGCAAATACAGTGTCACTTTCTACTTGTTCTTTTCTGTTGTCGTTTCCATCCTATTTATGTCTTCAAAAACTGCTGGGGATGGGGATGCTTTTAAAAGGGTTCACAGCATTACTGTACAAACATCATACTAGCAGCGGAGGATTGGGAGTACCATACAGTAATTGAAAGCCTTTGGGACATACTTTTTTTTCAAGCTTCTCTGGACTGAATGGAGTGGTGTATGGCCAGGGGTACGTTAGCAGGTCTGAGCACTCTGGTCTGTGGGCTGCAGCGTGGCACAGAGCCAGGGTGAGCAGCCCACAGCTGGCCTGCAAAACCGCGTTTGTAATCTTTTTATAGTGTGAATGAAAAGTCTGATGATGAGTGTGTGTAGGATCCATCAGAAATGCTGAGGCTTTCCTGTCCTACATGGCCCAAGAGGCTTGGGATGGATTTACAAGGTGGTTTATAGGAGATGATGGAAAATCCCATTTTATATTTCCAGGTCACTGATGCAGACTCACTTTGAAGCTTAACAAAACCACATTATCTTATTATGCATCCAGATGTATTTCACTGAGCTATGTTGACTTTCCATTTATATCTAGAAGACAGTTTGAAAGCTTAGGTGTAATACTGTTCAAAGGAAGTTCCCATGGTGGCAATTGTTCCAGTATTTGTGTTTAATAAGAACCGTTAATTTCCTGGAGTGATACTAGTATAAGGTAGCATCATAATTCCATGTTCTGCTTTTACCTTGTTCTAGAAGGTCTAATAAGCAGTGCAGCTCTCTGGCTTTTGTATTACAGGTTTTCTCCAGAAAACACAGACCTCCTTACAACACTGGGGTTACTTTACTTGAAGGTAATGAAGACTGTTAGCTATGACATGAACTTAATTATTTGCAAAATGACCAAGGTTTTTTTTTTTTTTTTTGTAGTTAATTTCTATCCACCTTCCTGTGACTTGCACCCAGTTCTCTAAAGACTGTATTTAACATGACAGAGCTTGCTTTTCTGTATCTTCTTTTTTCCTTTTTGCTGCTAAAAGCAAGTTGATTTCCTGGACCTGAGCCAGAGCAGGAATTCTGTTTGGCAGCCGCCCTAATTCTGTTATAAATCCTCCAAGTATAACAAAACATAACTAGTCATTACCTTGTTTCTGGAGCAGGAGTCTAGCAAGTTATTCTCCTACAGAAGCAGCCGTGAAATTGCTAGTGTTAATGCACCACAGAAGAAAATCGGAATCGATTTAAATAACAAAGGCATGCTTATCACTCGGGTCCGTAAAACGTATGGGAAGGACTGTCTGATTATTCCAAAAGTAAGCCTCCCAAAGAGAGAGCAAGCAAAGAAGAATAGGCAGTACAGCCTGAAAGGTTTGATGGGCTGGAAAACTTGCACCAAGTGCTGATTTGGAAAGATCCTGAAGGATTTTCCTAATCATTCAGACGCTCAAGAACAAAGCGTAGACCTTGAAAACAATTGCCTTGCTCTAGAGCTGGGGAAATGCCAGAGGAGCCTTGGATGTCTTAAGTGGATATGTGTGGATTTAGAAGGGAGTATGATATGGGAAGCTTATAGAAGTAGTGTGAGTGTAACATTTGCCCCGTGAATTCAGCCCCCAGGTCTCTGTGCTGTGATGCATTTGTTCAGTTTATCACGTCTCTGGATACATACTCACCTTCAGGAGTTTTAAAGATGCTTCTACAGCTTTCCCACTTGCTATTAATTACAGAAGGCGCTGGACACTGATGCATCAGTATAATTGCTGAAGTGACAGATGGGCTTCTCATCAATTTTTATGAGCAAAGGAGGACACTAGTATCCAGAATTTTTATCCTGTTTGGACTGGTACAATTCTGGCATAACTCAATTGAAAATGATAGGATTTAAGTGCTTCTAAGCAGTCATGTGCTTATATACGGACAGGTCATGCCCACTAACACTTGTGGTCCATTAGAAGAAAAGGGAAGACTTTCTCCCTTGAAAAGAGTGCCCTGGGGAGTGAGGAGGTTGTGGGGAGGGAGTCAAGAATGAGCAGAGTAGCAATTTGTAGCCTCTTTTCTGGAAGAGAGGAAGGACCAGAGGACCGTAAACCCAGAGCTCGCTCCTGTATGGAAGAGTCAGAGCACAAACTATGTGGAAGCCTTTGTTTTGGTCAGAACAGTGAATCCAGCCTAGCAAAATAAATTTTTAGAATCTGTTTTGTAAACTATCAAACAAGAGCATATCTGTGTAGCGGGAGCACTGTAAAATTCGCTTTTCTGAATCTTTCTTTTAACTGAACTGGAAATTCTAGTGCCCCGAAAGCATGTGTTCTCCTTCTTAACCCCTCTTATTCCTGAATTTCTGATGCTTGTTTACTTCTTTTCCCAGCGTGGGGATTACCAGAAGGCTTTTGAACACCTTGGAAACGCGCTTACTTACGACCCAGGCAACTACAAGGTATCATGAGGAGTGGAAACGAGCCAGCCTAATGATGATGAGACACCTCTTAAAGCTAATTCCAGTATCAGATCTTTGCCATCTGTATCCAGGGCCTTAGCCTGGAGAGGCTGAAAAGGATCTTGCCCAGAAAACTTTCTCCAAAATACATTCCTGGGACCTTTCCCTGGGTAGAGAGTTGGATGTGCGTGGAGATAGGGAAAGGGGAGGAGGCAGAATATGGGATGTTAAATTGATCCCTTTGGATTTTAATTTGAAGTTGCACCAAACCCAGGTAGCATTAACAAATGGAATTTACTTTGAAAAGAAAGTCTTCTAGACATTGTTTCAAAAATCCCAAGAGCTGTGTCCGGGTCTCTGTGACTCCTAGGCAGGGAGCACAGATACAAGTGATATTCCATTATATTATTCTCCCATCTGCTAATAACCCTGCCTGTGCTTCCAGCTGTTGTATACAAATGTGACTTTTCCTTGGCTCTGGTCTAGAATGCCGTGCTTGGCATCTGAGTTTCACTCCTGATTGTGAAACTGCTTCCCTTTTTAGGCATGTCACTTAATTTCTCTCTGCCTCTTTTCTCCTTTTGTACGATGTTGACGCTGTAGATTATTGAAATGTGTGGTTGACAAATTATATACGAATGCAAGCCAAATGTTATTGTGAAAACACCTTTGCACATACAAATTTTACTTGTCACAGTGAGATATCATAAAGGACTTAACTAGTGTGGTTTAAATATAGTGTGTTGTAATCACTTGCTTTTTTTGCCCCGTGCATATTACCATTAATTTGCAATATCGACCAGTCAGTGTGAACTAGGCTAGCTTTGCTGCATATGTCTTGCTTGAGTATGTTTTACTCTTCACTTAACTTGCTATTTCTATCTGCGCTTGTCGGTAGAAAGAATCTATTAGTGCATAGATCTTCTTAGAAACCCAGACTCTAGGAGATACTACTGTCACACCAAAACATACCCTAAACACTTGTCACGTTGCAATATTTCCAAGGCAGTTATGATCAAGATAGCGCAGGAAGAAGCGGACTCAAGCCCCTTCTTTACCCTCTCTTCTGCAATATGTTGGGAGATTCTGGAGTCCCCGTCTGCTCCCCACTGTTGGTCTTGGAAGCCCCCAGAAGAAAACACCCCAAAAAGTTAAATGGTTGCTCTTGAGATGGCTTTAGTTTATTCATTTTGTCCTGTTGTCTTCTTGCTGTATTTGGGAAAGCGCAGTTCCTCAGCTGGTCACTCTTGTCATCTCTCAAAGGCTACCTTGGCAGCTGGCAGCATGATGCAGGCCCACGGAGATTTTGACGTTGCCCTCTCCAAGTACAGGGTGGTAGCCAGCACTGTGCCTGAAAGCCCCCCGCTGTGGAACAACATTGGCATGTGCTTCTTTGGGAAGAAGAAATACGTAGCAGTAAGTATCTGGTTCCCTTTCTTTTTTCACCTGTAGCTGGCTTCACGCAAGAACAAGGTTCCTCTCGTGTCAGAGACAGGAGGCCTGTTCTGGGTGGGCTGTGTTACAGCACATTTATTCCTTTTTCGAAGGCTATCAGTTGCCTGAAGCGAGCAAACTACTTGGCTCCCTTTGACTGGAAGATTTTGTACAATTTGGGGTTAGTCCACCTCACGATGCAGCAGTACGCGTCTGCTTTCCACTTCCTCAGTGCGGCCATCAACTTCCAGCCCAAGATGGGAGAGCTGTATATGCTCCTTGCAGGTATTCAACCCTCCATCATCCAGCGCCGGTGTATGCCCAGCTTCGTGGATGCAGCATTATAGGGACAGAAAGTTTGGGCTGAAGTAAAAAAATATTGGATAAGGGCTATACTAAGAACCCGTTCCCCGGGTCACTGGGAGCTGTAAAGTCTGAATAGTGTGTTCTCTCTCTGTGGTGAATAGAAAGGTTAAATTGCAGTCAGATCCAGATTAAATGTCAGAAAAGACTTGGGTTGCCCAGCACTGGACATTTTGGGGATGAAGCAAGGCAGATATTTGTCAAAAGTTACATTAGTAGGGTTAATCCTGGCAGCGGTCCAGACAACCCTGCTAGCACCTATTTATTTTATGATGTGATATCATTCAGAATTGTCCTAAAAATTAAGTCCTCATGAAGCATCAATTTGTGTTGCATACATTTTGCTTTGGTACAGTTGCTCTGACAAACCTTGAAGACATTGAGAATGCAAAACGTTCCTATGAGCAAGCTGTGGCACTGGACAAGTAAGTCTTAACCGTAGCTGTCAGTTTTTTCATCGCGTTGTTTTGCCTCCCTGCACCCTGGTTTCCCTTGCGTGGTTTGTCCCTTGGTCTACTTTGACCCTAAACAATTTGCTGTAGGGAAACATCTTTATTCCTGCAGCTGTGCAAGTGACAGTTTTAAAACCACCTTTTTTATGTTTTTTTTTTTTTTTTTTTTTTTATTCAAGTCAGCTCTGAAAAACGAAAGGGAAATTTTGTTACAGACCAACCCAAAGCTGGTTTTTATTTTGCTGTTTAGTTAGTGAGTCCGTGGTGATGACTGTGGATTCCAGGCCTCATGTCAGTGAATATTTATACACAGTGGAGCAGATTCAATAGAAGAAAACCAGTCATCCCAGAATATTTTGTAACCCAAAGTCTGAGCGTTGTGCAGAGCAATGAGAAGCTTGGGATAAGGCCTGTTCTGAATTGGGCAGAGGGAGGATTTTAGCTGGGAGAATGTGGGCAAGAAGTTAGTAAAAGCATGTAAAGGGGCATCAGTGTTGTCCTTTCTCCTCCATTTTGTTAACAATGTCTGTTTGCAATGTAACTCTTAAAATCAGAGCACTTGATTTCGGAAATGGTAAGATGAACCTTGAAGTATTTCATCATTTCAGGCAGAAAACCAGATTTGTCTCAAATTTATGAATAGTTTTGTCTCTCCCCCCAATTTTCTGTGAATATTTGCATCCTTACAGCAACCAGCACCGTGCTCCTGAGCCCCAACGGGCGACAGAGCTGTGGCAAAAGCACTCTGGCCACCCGCAGTGGCCACCAGAAGGTGCTGCTCCCTTTTCCTCTCTCCTCTCTAACCTACTGGCCAGGCTTCATTTGCAGAACTCTGGAAGTTCCTAAGCCTATCATAAATGGGCAGCAGGTTTCAAAAAATAACGTTTGGCACTGTAGGGCAGTTCTCTTTGCAAAGAGGTGCTGTAAGGGCACTCAGATGTTTACTGGGAATTACCTGGCTTGCACGCGTGCCGGAGCTCTTGCATCAGTTAGCCCTGCGCGCGCAGCCAGCACGCGCCTGGCACTGAAGTTCTTCATGCTTTGGCGTCAAGAGAATTACAAAGCAGGTTTAAATGTTACTTCTGCATCTGTTTCAGACATCAGGAGGTCTGTGCAACCTCCTCAGAGGAACCGAACCTGTGCAAACTATGGTCAAAGATTTGTAAATACACTGCTGTGCAAGAGCATTTTGCAGTTATGCCTTGGTCGTTCCTACCAACATCACTGACTGAGTCCAGTTGGCTCCTTTGCCTGGCTTTCCTAGTCAGCCTTCCGTGCCTAACAAAGCAGGGCAGGGCCTTAAAGATTGCTCAGACTGCTTAGTCATGAGCTTGTGGGCTTTGGTCAAAGAGAAGGAATAGAAATTCAGCTCTACAACTTTGCCTAAGTATTTGGCACTACTGTGATGCTATGGCCGTAGTGTCTTACCAGGAAAATAAAACCTCATCAAAGCAAAAATGAATGCCAACTGCCAGGGACTGCTGGGAGGAATATCCAGACTTTGTTAGGCTTGTTCAGCTGGCATGCTGTATATTTTAGACAGTTACTGTGTGGCAGAATCCATGTGCCCACAGGCTTTCTTTCCTGGCATATTATGAACTGTTTGCCTGGGATGAAGATAGCCCTGTTTACTTCCATTGCCATAAATACTTTTTTAGCAGCGCTGTGACATTTGGCCTGGGTGCTGTTCAGGGGTCTGGAATGGAGAGCACCGTGGAAAAATCTTTAAAGAAGGTGTTTCTTCTTAGTACTGCTTCTAACTCAGAGCTCTCTCTTCTTTCTGTGGTTATTTAGGTATTGATTTTTTTCTAACTGTCATATTACTTCTCAGCTCTTGAAGCGAATTGGCTTCAGAAGGTTCAATTAATTTTAAAATTGGTTGTTCCCAGATCTGTCTGATCTCTTCAGTGTTTTTGTTGTATAAGCTTGGTTTTTCTGTATTTTCTTTTTTGGCTTTTTTTCGTGTGTGGGGGGGTGGGGTGTGAAGAGATGAGGTTTTGATTTTTTTGTTTTTGTTTTTCCTATGTATTGCTTCCTTTGCTTTGGCAGAGGCAGTGAGGAGGTTTTTCTTTGTGATGGGATCAGTGTTCCAGTCTCTCAGTTAAAGGAAAACCAATGGTTATAAATGCTATCAGATTTCTTCTAATAGTCTTCTTTCTTGTAGCGCTGTCATATAACTTACCAAGGATGGATTGTCACGGCCTGCAGATGACACTTTCTGTTTATTGATCGGTGCCAGCAGAAGCCTTCCCTTCTGCACTTTTCACAGAGGATGCTCTCTCTGTCTTGGCCCCCCAGGCGCGGGTGCTGGAGTCCTTGGATGGCTCCAGTTATCCCTGCCACGCTCCAGGAGAGGGCACCAGTCCCTTGCTCTCGTTTATTGAGCAAACTACAAAGCCTGTCTCACTGACCTGTGTGCAGTGATAAATGCATGCGGCTCCCCTGCAGGGAGCTGTGGTTAGACAGTGCTCTGCCCTGCATCCCTCGACAGCACATCCCCTGTTCTGAGCCAATGCAGGCTCTGCGCTGCCCGGCCCCATCCTGCAGCACAGACGAGCCCGGTGTCTGCACGAGCTCCCGGGCTGGGGCCCGTCACCCTCTTGCATTTTCCTTCCTTTGGCAGCTGATACACATGCATTTTGCTTCTCCAAAATAAGGGTCAAATTCAGACTGCTAAAGAATGGTCAGGGCAGCCTGAGTGTGGCTCGTCAGGCAATTCGGGAAGGGTCAGCTCTCCGAGAGCTTCACTCACCAGTTACAGAGCCAAGGGAGTCAGCTCAGTCTTTCCCTCCAGTTTAGTTTGCCCACGCTCCTGGCTATGCCAGAAGAAAAGTTTCTGTTCAGGGTTAATATAGCCTAGTGAAGAAAATGGATACTGCGGAAAATGAGAATATATGGAGCAAGTCTGCCTTTCTGAAATCTTCATATGCTGGTCTGCTCAGGAAGGGAGGCAGGACTGCGCAGGGTAACAGTGGTACCTGCGGTGCTAGTCTCCAATTCCAGTCCTTCATTACTGGGTATCGCCTCCTGTTTCTCTGTAACAGTCCCTGCAGTTCTGTGTGCTTTTACTGGGTGAATGAGGGAGGAGTGGTGGGGAAAATGGAAGTGTAAGCAGCATCTTCTGTAGCATGTTGGGTTGTAAAATACAATCAGCAAGCATGAGTGTGTTCCACAGCCCTGTCCCATGGCAAGCTGCTCTCCTACAACCTGGGAGAGCCTGCGATAAGTCAGAGCAGAGATCAGTTTCCACAGTATGATGAAAGCCCCAGATGCTTCTCTACCTGCCCCAGGAGCAAGGGGCTGGGAGACCAGGCACTCCCTAAAGACATCTGCTTCGGGGTCAGAGGCTCAGCTGTGCCACGGGCAGGTGTCTCCAGCTTTGCTGCTTGGGCACATCTCAGCATTACTCAAGTCAGGATAAGTGCTCCCACAGTGAACGTTGATGCATCCTGTGTGTTTGCTGCAGGTGCAACCCCCTCGTCAACCTGAACTATGCTGTCCTGCTGTATAACCAGGGCGACAAGAAGGGAGCCCTCTGTCAGTACCAGGAGATGGAGAAGAAGGTCAATGCAGTGAAGGAGAGCGGTACTCTTGACTTTGACCCTGAGGTATGTGCCTAACAGTTGTCAGTGGAAACTAAGTAGCCACGCTGAGGCTGGCAACAGACAAGGAGGAAATTTGACTTTGGAGTCCAATTATTAGGGAGAAATTCTGCTTACGAGATTTTTCCGAGTAGAGCAGTCGCCCGCTGAGAGCTGCTTGTTTCGTTTCTGCGCTTTGAAGCCCAGTTCTTCAATCAATACACAGCAAGACAAGATTCCTTCTTAATTAAGGGAATGAATTAGCAGAGATGTTTCCCTCGAGCACCAAGGCAGTAGCCAGCTCTGCACAACTATAGTTTTTCGGGGGGGTTTTTTATGTTGTCGTTGACTTTATTGTTGTCTGAAGTGTTCCTGTTTATAATGGTCTTCTCTTTTTGCTTCTTGAGAAGATGGTGGAGGTTGCCCAGAAGATGGGAGCTGCCCTGCAAGTAGGGGAGAGCCTGGTGTGGACTAAGGCTTCTAAAGAGTCTAAATCCAAGCAGAGAGCTGCTCAGTCAGGGAGATCCTCCAGCACTCAGCAGCCTTTGGGCTCTAACCAGGCCCTGGGTCAAGCCATGTCCTCAGCTGCAGGGTATGGGAAAACCGTGCAGCTCCCCCCAGGTACACCTCTTTGGCTTCTCTTTAAAGTAGAACTGTGGGAGGTGGGAAGGGAAATCTCTCTGCCTTTTGAGTAGAGTTACAGCACATCTTTAGGAAGGTATTGACTTGCTTACACAGTCGTGATGTCAATATTTGGTAATAACTTTGGTAATAACTTTCCCAGATTTAAAGTGGGGAAGGAAGATGCTTTCTGTGGTGCATTATACTGTTCTGCTTTTGCAGGGGTGTGGGAAGCCAGTATAGTTTCCCCTCCTGTCTGAGCCATAGTGGGGCAAGACTCCATTAGCCTGGGATTGAGATCTTGCTCTGGAAAGGTGGTTTCAGAAACCAGACCTCTTGTCTTCCTTTGGAAGAGCCCAGGAGCTGACGCGCACAGACAGGCTGCTTGAGAGAAGGCAAATGATGGACAGTTTTCTGAAGCACTTTATCATTTCTGTTACAAAAATAACTGCAGCCAGATTGCTTTGAAGCCATCCAGCCAGGTCCCTCCCTTGCAAACGCTGCTGGATTACCTTTTAGTGCGGGCCACTGGACTGAAGGTTGCTCAGGAGGCAGCTTCAGCCTCAGAAAGCTTACGCCAATAGCTGTACGTGCTGCTTCCTGCTGGGGCTGGGCAGGAGCATCTCCTGAGCCACCCTTGGTAGCCTGACCTCCTCTCACCCCTGAGCAGGAATGTGCTAGAGGTACTGCTCATCGCCGGGATTTTCTGACACTCTTGGTCTTGCTGCCTGTGGACTGAACCAGGAGAGAGGTTGTGCGATTCAGGCCTCTTCCTTTGGTTACCCCTAAGGACCTGTTCCATTTCTCACACATGGAATAAACTTTCCATGCAGGGAAGACTTAGCCAGAAAACCTGAAAAATTAAACAACAGGAGTTCAGGGTTTACCTGAAGGACTTCATTATCCGTGTCAGAGAAGGGAGCTGGTTCATAACAGCACATGTCAGCCTAAATCTAAGTGTGGAAACAACTCTGCATGGAATTGTCCTGTTTTGATTTTTATTCTCTAAGTAGCTACTTTAACTGCCTGGAAGCTCTCATGGAGTTTGCTAGAACTGTGGAATTAAAACAATACTGTAGTTTTGGTTCCAGCCGGAGTATAAACCAGCTTCAGTGGAACTGTTTTCCCTTCCAAAGCATGAGCTAATTCCGAAGTTTGTACTGACTTCTCACAGCAGCCCAGACGAATGAGATACTGTACCTCAGCTTCCCTTCAGCAGAACGTTGGGTACTGTAAGCTCTCTGGCTGGGGAACTCACCAAAGAGTTGAGTGCTATCGCTAAGCAAATGCTAGACAGAAGAAATCTGAGAGTGGTTAACAGCTGTGATTGTTCTGCATCCCCACGCAGCCTGGAAGGGCAAAAAGAATAGACAAAACCACGCGTACTCCTATGGTCACTGTAACTGTGTTCTCTCCCCAGGTGCCGGGGCATCAGCTCCACTTGCAAAGCCTCCCTCGCTGCCTCTGGAACCAGAACCGGGCTCGGACGTGAGCCCTGAGGAGAGCTCGGCACCAGCAGGGCCTGAGGAACAGAGGAAAGAAAAGCGCAAGAGCCGGCAGGCAGCGGACTAGGACGGACTCTGGTCAGGACGGGCGGGCGCAGGAGCCTCTCCAGAGCTGCCTGCTGGCTTGTGGGGAAAGGGACCTGCCCCCTCCCCTGACCCCCGGTGGCTTCACCCCACCGTCAGTTAGTCTAAATGCAGCCGTTTCCTCTTAACGATTTTCGCACGCGGTCCCTTCCTCGTCCCAAGGAGTCGTTGCAGCGATCGATCAGGAGAGGTTTCTGCGTAGCTGCTGTTGGCGCGGTCACAGCTCACGGCCGGAGACTGGAGGATGGAGATTCCCCCTGCTCCCAGGGTTGGCAGCCCTCGGGGTTTGGGCGTAAATCCTCCAGAGGGATGCTGAGGCACGTTTAGAAAAGCCAGCAGCGGTGACTTAGAGTCCCGGACCCCAAAGAGGGTCAAACCCTTCCACGTGGCCGAGCCTGCAGGCGGCTGAGGAAGCCCTACGCAGGCTGCAGTAAGGTCAGCGGGACGGCGCTCGGAGAGGCGGGGGGTGAAGGTTGCGCCTCTCCCCGGGGCAGTAAGCCGGGCTCAGGACTAGCAGGGCACGAGAGGCACTTGGAAGCCCATGCTGTCCTTAGCTCTGGCAGCCCGGGGCGTTTGGCGGAGCCGCCTGGCTAAGGCGAGCTGCTCCGTCGGCACGCACCCGTGGCGGCTGCCCAACCCAGCCGGCTTCCTCCAGAGTGTTCACCTTCCGATCCCGGGATCGCTCCCTGTATCTCAAATCCAACCTATTTTTAAGCGTAAGCTCCCAGGTGGTAGCTGAGAAGGTTGCAAAGCTGGCCCCCAGTCAGCCAAGTGCTCAGGGGCTGGCTGTTCTGGAAGCAGGCTAGCTACAGCAGCAAAGAATTCTGCCAAATTCCTCATTGTTTGCTGAGAAACGGGGTAAATGAACCTCAGGAAAGCTCTGCTCACGTGACTGGAGTTCTGCCTTGTGAATTTGTATTGCCCAGCATGGAGGGAAAGATTAGTTGGCAGGGAAAAAAAAAGCAAGCAATGATATGGTCAGCTTCAATGCTAAATATAAATTGTTTTCGTATGACAGCAGCCATACACTGAATAATTTAGTTCCGTCCTCCTTTCAGTTGCATTTTAGGAGAAATCAGGCTGGCTGCAAGGTGGCAAAGCAGCCCGTTGGTGAGCAGAACAAGGAATTTCAGTGCCCCATGTGATCCTAGAGCTGCTTTGAAAATATTTCTATCCTTGAACAGCAAAACTTTAGCCTTCCTTTTCTCTGCCACCATCAGTTTGTTGCCTCTGGGGTTTATCCAGAGCTTGATACAGGTCCTCAAGCAAACGGCTTTTGAGAACTGAAGGTGGGACTCTCATACTTTACAGAAAGAACAAGTAAGGGGGTTAAGTGTAGTTTTTTTTCCCTCCTCCCCTCTTGTGTCCCGAGAAGTACAGCAAGCTAACATTGCCGCGGGACTTTCGATGTGAGTTTTCCAAAGGGGAGGTGTAGGGCTTCCCCAACTAAACTGGCTTCAGGGTTCACTCTGTTTGCTGGTTAAGCCACCCAGCTTTTGAAAATGTATTTCCTGCTTTTAGTCCTGCGGTGTTGCAGGGTATCACTCTGTAATGAACAAGTCCGAGGGAGGAAGGTTAGTAATGGAACCTTCTCTGTCACAACAAAAGTAAAAGCAGCACGACCGAGGCTCTGGATTCATGAACGTCCTTCAGTTGTGCTTTGTGGTTAGCTGCTGTTAGCCAAAAGGACATTAATGCATCTTTAGAGCACATCCAGGAACTCAAGTGCTGTCCTGCTCCCGGGAGAACACTGAAAGAGTATAAGAACTCTTCACTTTCTTCTCGCTTTTGATTGCCAAAACTGCTTGCTCATCTCAAACGTGGCTTTTTGTTTTCCAGCTGTCCCCTGCTGCTGGGTTTTGTATCGGTACAGCTTCAGGGTAGCACTCCTGTAAGGTTTCCCTCGTGGTAGGAGTTGAAGAAAACAGAGGATCTTTAGTGGAGCACTGGTAAATTTAAACAAACCAGACAAGCAGCAGTGTAAATCAGGTACAGGGCAGTGATTTTTATTCATGTTAAACTTTTTACACGGAAAGTTACTGCAGCATAAGAGAGCACCTGTGAAGAAGAAGTTAAGATTGCAGATCAAGGGTAGGCAGGGGATGGGAACTCTTTACCTCACCCCCAAAACTTTAGTTCAAGGCCGTTTTTGTCCAACAGCAGTCGATGGCTGTAATCTTTCAGTCTTCTCACAAAGGCTCTCAAGCCCTGGAAGCGCCAGGACCAGTGACCACAACGGCGTGGTTACGGGTACGCGGGCACCAGCATCGCTCCTACAGGAAGGTTTTCCCTCCATCTGCTTACGACCCTTCGTTTCGATTTTCCTAGCCGCTTTCCCCCGCCTTCCACTTGCTGTAAAAAAAAAAAAAAAAAAAAAAAAGACTGCGGCATTCCCCGCCGCGTTTGCTGTTCCCAGGAGATGGGGAGCAGCCCTCGGCCCACCGCTGTTCCCAACTTACAGCCCACCACGGGCACAAAGATCCCTCTTCTCTCACCCAGGCCCGCTGGTGCGACCCGTTACCTTCTTGGCTGTGAGGATGCTTGTATAGGGTAAATGTTACACATAATAACGTTATGTTATATATATACACTAATAACTGTTCATACATAGGGTGTCCTACATTTGGCAGTACTGTGAAGGTATTTAAAATAAATATCTATTTGGTGAAAAGCTTATGCAGATGATTAACAAATTCTCCTTCTGTGAAAAGGAGCAGTAGCGCCTTGTTCCTTTCTGGATTTGAACAGAGCAGAAGGGAGCTTCCCATCTAAGGAAGGGGTTTTAAATAGGTAATTACAGTTGAATAATGAAGAGAACAGCAATTCCTGGTCCTGTCCCCTCTCCTCCCCCTGCAGTGATGGCACTTGCCTACAGTAAACTCACAGGATGTTTATGGAGAGCTTTTTTTATGTTATCTGATGATGGGAATGAGGCCGGACTGTTCTTTCAACTGGAATTAAGCAGGGGATTTTTCAGCAGGACGGTACTAAGTCATTTAGGGATTTTGGAAATCACACCTTATGTTCCAAAACCTGTTTCTGGCATCAGCCATAATTCTAATCTTCTCTTTCCCCCTCCATAATGGAAATTTTAAGATGGAAAAGAATAATGAGCTTAATTTCTAGGGAAGTAGAAACCATCTGCTTTAGGACTTTTCCTCCCCCTTCTTAGAAAAAATTCTGTCATTAACAAGGTTAAATCATACAGCTTACAAGGCAGACTGCAGCTTGGCTTCCTCACAGGAGAGCAACTAGAAGACACTCGAACAGCAAGGCCTGGGCAGCAGGACCTTGTTTCAGCCAGGAGTAATGATCTACCTGTCCAGCAACGTGTATTCAACCCAGACAAATCTGGTTTTGAGGTCCCTGAGACAACTGGATGCTGATTTATGATACGGGCAGCATTACCATGTTCTCGCTGTGCTCCTGTACGCGATCTTGTTTGCCCAGTTGTGGTCACTGACAGGCAATATTGAGCAAGGTGGACCTCGGGTCCTGCTCAACGTCCTGTTCTTGCTTAAGACACAGACTTCCCCCTTGGGAGGTGGGTTTCAGTTGGCAAAGCCTCTTCTACAGAGACAGACAAGCCTCGGTGCTGAATGAAGAAAAACAAAGTTTACTAAAATAATAAGCGCCACACATAAATGCACTACAAAAAAAAAAAAAAAGCATGCATTATAACACGGAGTCATCTGCCAAGATTGTTTTATATAATAGAAAACACAGTTCTGCTACAAGGAAGGCTTCACCACTCTCTCAGACCAAACTGCACAAAAAAAAAAAAGTGTTTTTTAATGAACAATACAGGTGAGGCCAGAACCTGGCGTTACCCAGGCTGCGCTAAGGAGCGGCTTTCCTGAGAAATCCATAGGGGAGGTTTTCAGGGTATTTTTTTTTTTTTTTTCGTTTGTTTCCCCCACTTACATTTTAATGAGATCATTCCCCCTTAGCTGCCAGCATTTGTATTCTTCAGCTGCTATGAGATCTTCTCAGCAAGGGCTGCTAGCAGGCTCGGCTTTCCAAGCGGCGGGGCCGTTTGGAACAGACGCCTTCCCGAGCTTCCGGCACAGAAGGCAACGGCCACGCGAGCTATTTCCAACCTGCCGCTGTTTCCTTTGCTGAGAGAACATCCTCCCACAAGAATGTGGATCAGTAACTCCCTGAGACTTCAGCCTGGTCGGCGCTTAGGATCCACCTGAGATATTATGCAAGAAACTGTTCCATCTGTTACGGAAGAGAACTTCATCTGCCATCTCTGAACAGAGAGGAGAACGATGATTTCTGGCTCTAAGATCAAGTTTTACTGAAGAGTTTATCCAGACCCAGGATTGCCAAAGCAGACAGGGGTGATGAGAGCAGGCCAAGGGATAAGCTACACAAAGAACTTGTTGCAAATAGGTTTCCTCCGCCCCTTATCACTCAAACTTTAAAAACAAAGAGCAAAGACAACCTTTAATATTCTCATTTCTCTCTAGTAACCTCGTTAGTGCTTGAATGTGAGAGTCTTTGTTGTGGCGTCTGTTCCAGCTGGTTTTAACCAAGGAGTCTACAGAGAATTTTTTTTTAAACGTGAGACTACCCCTTTGGTACCATCACAGGTTTAGAACTTAACTGTATGCTTTTACCAAAACATTAATTGCACTAGAGAAGAGCACAATTAATATGGCTTGCAACAAACTTTCACCTTCAAATACCGACTTAATGCAGGACATAGAACAATCCAACTAAAGCCACAGAAATACAAATACAGCACTTTCCTCCATTTTTCTACTGTTGTTCCGAATGTACTCAAAGACTTGATGAGTTTCCTTACACCAGAAATAGCAGCGCAGAACACGGTGTGACAGCACTTGACAGCACTGCTGCAGAACAGATTGCGCCAAGCACGTGTCCCGGCAGCCAGCAGACACAGGCAGGCTGCTCGCACCCGAAGCTGCACGCTCCAAAAAAAGAGCCCAACAGCACAGAGGTTTAAACAGCTTTTAGGGTAACTGGAAGGAGTTAGGCTGTACCATTCTCGCAAGAACTGTCCCAGTATTCATTTTAACTTTTTTTCTCAGGATAGGGCTGGGAGGGTCACACCCTGGGGCACACGTCCTGATCGTTCAGTTTACATTGTTACAGAATTAAAGGCAAAAAAAAAACACCAACCCCACAAACAAAAAGCCAACCACAAGTAGCATGAGTGGATTTCACAGCTTAAAAATCTATTTTTTATTTCTGTTATCGTTGTTGGGAGGCGTATACTACAGAGGTGGCTACAAAAAGCCACCCCTACCCTAGGCTAACTAGTCTTAAAATAAACTCGGGCAGAGAGAGCAAATACAAACACGCTGCTGACCGTTTTCCATTAGGCTTCGGAAATGGACCTGGCGCTCTGCTGCTGTACAAGCTTTGGATTCCAGTAGCTGAGAAGTGGAATTGGGCTCTAAAGCAACATCTAACATGGGTCAAAGCAGCTGGCGAGGTCTTTGCTAGAGGCAATGCATAAAGGAAGACATTTCAGCACCAGTTCTGTAAAAAGGGACCCGTGAGAAAAGAGCAAACTTAACTGGATCTCACCCATCACAACAGGAGATAGCCAAGAAACCCAGAAGTAAAGAAAATCAGGTAATTCCTTAGCAGTGCTGCAAAACTCCCCTGGAGAGGGAAAATAAATAAATAAATAAATGTGAAGAGCCTCTAAACTGGAAAGAGTTGGATTTGGGATTGGCTCTTCCACAGCCAGGTAGCCATGGCATCACCGCGGGCACAGCCGCGAAGGAACGTACCCTCTGAGAGTCTGCCCGTGCTTCACATCTCACATCATCCACCGCTCGGCCTTCGGTCAGCAATGGACACAGAAGAGACGGGAAGCACTGCTCGTTTTTGATCAAGGGTAAGACAGAAACCCCAAACCAGTGTGGTCGCAGTGGCTACAAGGTGCACAGAAGTGGAAATAACAACACGCACAAGTTCTATCGTCCAGAGAGCCGCGAGCTTACTGTGACAGCGACGAGCTCATCTGTTGCCTCTTCAGCAAACTGGGAATAAACGTTTCCAGTGGAAGCCCTCCTGTACGGGAGCAGGAGGCTAGCTGAGGTCTGAGTCATCCGTCACTCCGGGCTCAAGGTATGAGTAACACATGAAAACAGAGTTGGTAGACAGGATCAGGGGAAAGCTGAGATTATTTCAAGCCTGGTTTTGAAGCTTTAGTATTTTTATAACTTTTCTGTGGCTTCATGGTGAAGAAAGATCTGGATTTTTATAATTCATTAGATAAATCTGTTTAAAAATCTCTCACATACCAAGGGCTTTCAAATTTTACAAAAAACCCAAACCAACCAAACAACAAACCCCACAATCAGTAGAAATTTCTTTTTTTCCTTTTCCCCCCTCTACAGGCTAAAAAAAAAAAAAACTCCACTAGCTATTTCCATTTCTGTAGTTCAGCAAGGTCTGTTAAACACAAAGCAGCTTTTTCTTTGTTGTCGCTGTTGTAGCTGTGCAGAGGTGTGAGACAGCCTACACGTGCAGGAGGAGGATTTCAAGCCCCAGCAGCCCTGACTGTGATTAAGTTGGGCAGGCAGACGCAAGTTAAGCGCAGCGTGTTCACGGCGTGTGAAACACCGAGCGAAGACGGGCCGCTGGGTCCCGCCCTTCAAGCCCGGGTTTTATTATCATACAGATTGTTTCAAAACTTTATCAGGGATCCCAGTGGCACACCTGATTAACAGGTCATGCATGTCAGGAATTATCCTTGGTAAGTGAATTTGGTGACCCGGTGAGCTCTATCCGCCCGGCCAAAGCCGATACAGAGCTAGAGCAGCAGGCCAGCCATCACCAGCTACTGACATTTGAGAAGTGACTCAGGGTGCCAGGCACTCGCAGTGCACCAACAGCAGGCCAAAGAAGAAATATTGCCTGGTGAGAGAACAGGAAGGCGTTAATAATAATAATAATTAAGAGTTTAGCCTTTAGGCCCAGATGAATTCCAAGCAAGAAACCCCTTTTTCATACTTGTTTACAGCTGTTATTTATTCAAAGTAGTTTAAAAAAAAAAATTAAAAATATATAATTTAGGCCTGCAACACTCCTGTTAAATGCAGGCATAACTTGCCCTTGGACAAGTTCTGTCAGTGCAGTGACGTGATTTTAAATGGCCATACGGCAATGCCAGCCCAACCAGCTCCACATCCCTGCAAATGTTTTTGGAAGAAAAGTGAAATACAGCAGCAGAACCGTTGCTGGTGACAGCTTGTGTGTATTTAGTTTTGTTTTGTTTCCAACTCAAGAATCCACACAGCTTGGCCCAATGTCAGGAAAGTGGGGACTAGTGTAAGCAAAGGATCAGTTCTCCAGCTGGCAGGATGCGTGGCCTTTGGTGCTCCGAGGGGTGCTGTGCCAGAAGGCTACCATCAGAGGTTGCAAAATAACCTTGCTAATGGCCTCAGACCTTTTAGACAGCTGAAAGGAGAAATTTTTAATTTATTTTTCCTGTAGGAAGACTAAACCAGAACTCCCAAGTCTCATGCTACAATTTACCAATAATAATGATAAAAAATAATCATCTGGATAGAAATCCTTCCAGTCTTAAGAAGATCCTGCACCGAGAGAAAATGCTGAGACTCAGCAGAAGATCTGGCTGGGACAAGCTGCAGGAAAACATCGCACTGACTGCACTTCCCCGGTACAACAGAGACGACTTTGCTCAGAGGGGAAGCAGAAGTTAAATATACATTGACAGACAGCACTGTGTGTGAAGTCAGTACAAGTTACAACAGCTGTCAATTTTTATCCTCCCAGAGCATTCCGGATGGCATTTTCCATCAGGAGAACATCACTGGCAGCCGTACGACGGCGTTACTGCAGCGCATCGCTCCAGCCTACGCGACACGGACTCTCCTCCCCTCCTTTCAGGTGCAAAGACTGACCTGAAGCGACCTCCTACAAATCCTGGTGCAGAGCAGGCTCGCACGGACACGCTGATTGCATTTAATCCAGTTATGTTGAAAAAAAGTGTATGATAGCAATGCAAATACACTTGAACTTTCTGGAAGGGGACAGAGACAAAACCATGCTGGAAAGAGACAAAAAAATGCTGGTGCTATGCAATCCACAGTGTGGAACTATGAAGAGGAAAAAATACAGGCAAAGTATTCAACGAGGACACACGGTTCTATTTTTTTAATTTCAAAGGCTGTCCAGAGCAAAGAAACTATCAGTGACCTAGTCAAAGAAAAAAAAAAAAACAAAACCAAAACCAGCATCAAACCCTAAAGAAGCCCTCCTCACTCCAGTCTTACCTGGAAAACGCTGTTGCAGCTTTTGAGCTTCCAGAGGGACCTTCCCTAACACATTAACCCTTCTGACTGGAGGGGAGGGAACTGAGGAAAATTGCACAACCATTCTCGAACAACATCCCCCTCCCCCCCGAAAGATTAGTCTCCAGCATTCAATAGCTTTTCTGTAAAATACCAGCTACAAGCACCCGCTGTTAGCGAAGGACACCAGCTGTGAGCCACCCCAGCTGGAGCTCTGGGTAGTTAGTGTACAGCAACCACAGGTAATGTTTTGTGGTTTACCTGGCAAGAAAATAAAGCTGTCTCCCCAACTATAAACCCTGATTATCTTCACTTCTAGTTGCCCCCAAACTAAGCACAGGCTACTAGGGCTCAGTTGAATACCTTTAGTCACAGAGACAACGGACACCCAAAATAATCTACGCCGCCTCGAGTCAGGTTTTCTCTGTGCATTTAAGGAGGAGGTACAGTGTGCATCACATTTTGGGACTCTGGCTCCTTCCACTGCTGGGGACGCTGGGGCTGAGAGGTAACGTCATCAGTAAAAAAGATTTCATCATCACACCAAGCAAGCAGGAGGTTTGCTCTTGCCACGTAGCAATGTGCTGTGAAGAGATAATGCAAGAGCCTTTTATTTTTAATCAATCAGAGGCAAGAGAGGGCCGAGCACTGCTGCGCTCTCCCTGGGGTCCGCACGCAGGAAGCTCTCCTGGCTGCCACACTTCCCAGCACTAACGGACAAGGCCCGTTCTGAGCTACAAACAGCAAACCTACGCCAAACAGGGATTCTGATATTTGTTTCCCTCCCTGCATGCTTAAGACAAAGCAAAGCCAACTTTCACATTGAATATGAAAATGTCTGCACCTAAACGTGAAGCGTTCGAGTCACTGCCAAGTGACTGGAATGTATCTGACAGTTTATACCTGGAATTATTCTTTGGCTCTTTTTCAGTTATACCCAGAAAACACACCACACCCTGATTGTGTTCCTATACCACCACTGGCTGAAATCCTGATCCGTGGTTCCTCAGACACCGTACGGTATTGGAGAAGAAGGAGGGTCTTAGTTTTCTATTGAGGATATACTTCTGAATATAGCAGTCCTTCAGCTGAAATCGCATCCCCAAGTCCCACGGTCCGGACAGGATCTTTGCAGACCAACACAGGAGTGAAATGGAATGAGATGCCTTCTCTGTGCCAGTGCACCACCGGCTCATCTGGATTTAAAGAGATTTTGGAAGGTGCCTCTATCTGGGAGGTCACAAACTCCAAAGGAGCTTTAAGAAAGACTTTGCTGGTATCGATGGTTTCGGTCGCGCAGGCCTGAGTCCCCGCCGCCCGAGCTCCAGCAGCCACAGCCGCAGCCTGGTTGCCCCAGTACCCGTCCACCGTGACAAGGATATGATAGGCCAGGGTGTGGAAGTGGACGCGCGTGAGGTCAGAGGCCCGCTCCGCGGTCTTCCCGTGCTCCTTCAGGATCCAGAAGAGGATGTCGCTGACGACACCCACGTCGGGAACTCCGCTCCAGGAAGCGAGGGAGGCGTGGGGACCAGAGGCAGACTGCGTGAGGAACAGCAGCTCCTGCTCGTTCAGCCCAATGGAGTTCACCAGGGGAAAGACCTGCTAACAGAAACACAGAAACAACAGTTTTTCCTTCAGAGAGAGAATCGGACTTTGGGCTTCCTCATTCAGGGTATTGTTTTTACAATACGGGGTTACCGGCTCTGTCGCCAGCGTGCTCAGCAGAAGGGAGCACCCGGTTTCCTGGGGAGGTGCAGGGCAAAGCCACTGCCCAAGCTTCCCCGTTCTACAAGTCTGCAAGAATTACTTGGCCAAGAAAACATTTCATGCCAAGGGCGCGTGCTCGTTTTGTGCAATTCATTTTCTAGACACGCACTTTGACAGTAAAGAGTAACAAAACACCAAATCCACATGAAACACTCATAACACGGAGATCAGAGCTGTGTCAAGCTAAACAAGGAACCATCAGGATGATCTGAAGGAAAGCAGTTGTGCAAAGAAAACAAGGTTTTTTTTTTTTTAAATTATAAGCTCAGCTCAAATTCAAATCCCGTTTTTTCTAGAAACCTGCAAGCCTGTTAAATCTAAACCAGCCAGTTACTTGTATCTGTGGAGCTGTGAGTATTCTCCTGGGTCACCCCCCCTGCGACTGCAAAAAATCTGTGTATCAGGGAACAGAACCCTGCTGTGTTGCCCGGTATATTCACTGAATACAGTTGCTGAATAAACTCAGATCTGCAAAAAATCCTTATTCCTTGCCAAAAACAGTCTGATGATCAACCCAGGGCATTGTTAAGATACCCTCCTAAAAAGAAACTTCCCAGAGAGACCTTTCTAAAAGGCATACTCTCTCCAAGCTAAAGAAAACAAATCTGTCCTCTGCTAAGCCACAAGTCATTACAGTTCTCCTTCTCTGCACAGAGGAGTCTCTGGTAAGCTCGGTAGCGAAACTAGAAGCATTCAGAATGCAATAGCAGACATTAAAACCAGGTTCTCAATTTACCTACAAAAAGAGCACATCCTTTAATTTTCCTTACCTGATGCATAATGTTGCTCATAAAATCTTGATCAGTCATACTGGCCAACTCCAGGTGTATGGGAATGTCAGTAGGGATATCGGAGATGGAGGCTACAGCCTACATGGGTACAGGAAGACAAAAAAAAAAAGCACATTTTCATTAAGAAACAGAAAGAACAAAGGGGTTTTGACTCAGAGATACACATCCTTTAATATTATTGTGTATGGATTTAAACACAGTTCCAAATGAGATGTCTGATAAGTGCTGGAACAGGAAGGAAAAAAAAAAAAAAACAAACAACCCCAACTTCTAGTTTTCACAGTCCCAGAGCAGGAAAACTGTATCTAACCCTAATCTGCACCCAACTCAGCACTTTTCTGAAGGACTAATTCAGAAACCTCACAAATCTGAAGCAGCTGTAGAACAGCTAATCCTAGAAAAAGTTAAAAAAAAAAATGCTAATGCAATGATCTGTAAATCAAAAGAAAACTTGGGTGTAGCTCCTTTGGGCTCAGATAAGAAAGCTGCCTCTTGGATTATCTAACACAGATACTGCTTAAAGAATGCAAGTCTTGATTATAACTGTGATCATCTTAAGTGTCTGGGATAGAAAAAGTGTAATTTAGCCACTAGAGAAGCTCCAGTCACCATGTCAACATACTTCAGCCAGACAAGCAGACCATACTATTTTTTCCCTAGACAGTGCACTGAATCTAGAAAACATCACTGTTACAGGATTAGACTTTTGCCATTCCTACAGTTCATATTCTTCTTGTCACATGCAATACTGAAAAGATTTGTGGGAGATCTGAAGACAAAGCCTACTTACTAGTTCAAACCTGGGAAACCAAGACTTTGCCACGAAGCATTTGTAGGAATGGAAATGAAGAAGACACGGATATTCAAGAATCTTACCTCCATAAGTCGCCTCTGTCGCATCTCCTTGCTCTGGCCTTCCATCATGTGAAGTCCTGAAAGTACCACAAGATCTGGCTGAAATTCATCCAAGCTGGACACAAACACTTCCAGCATATTTAAGGCACCATTTGACAGGTCATGGGAGAAGATGAAGCGGTTGGCATTGGGAGCTCTCACTTGTCCCCACTCTTCACCTAGGGTGAAACAAATAGAAGCAAGTTAACTCAGAAGAGAAGTGAACCAAACCACGTACCTGGAGATTGTTTTGGGACACCCAAAGGCACGATTTCACAGTGTGAGTGTGCCCAATTAACAGCTACTGCCAGCCAGGTGAGAAATCTTCCTCTTTTCCTCATTCATTCTCTTCATTCACTGCCTCGTTTAGATGCTTGTCTGATCAGAAGGAAAATTCAATACTTGTTTGGTTTTGCAAGCTCTGTGATGTTTTAATCACTTGTATTAGTTTAGCATGCAATTAGGTGAGCGTCACAGCCAGCTCAAGCCAAACATTCAGAGTGTGCAGGATATGCAGAGAGAGGGGAGACCTTCCCCTTCTGGCAACCACCAGCTGTTAGCTCGACTCAAGCTGCATCATGAAGATGCACCCTGAAAACTCTCACGGCTCTTACTGTTCCTGACTGCACTGTGCCCACAAATGGTCTGCAGACTAGAGCTGCATCAGTGCTGTGTGTGTAGACTGTTTCATTCCTGGGTAAAATCACAAATTAAATGGGCTCCATCTCCAAGACAGTGAGCCATGAGAAAACAGGGTAGCGACAGCGAGCCTAGAGGATACAAATTACACAAGCCACAGTCCAACTGCCAGCCCTCTGCCAGCTCTCCCCATCTGTACACACATCTTTGTTCAGGCAGCAGGCAGTTCCCTGTGCCAGTTATCCTAACTGGACAGAAAGAAATGTAAGGGAATATATAAACACAGGTCACAAAGGGCAGCTTGAGCAGAAAGCTCTTGAGCCACAAGAATTTCTGAGGCTACTATAGGCAGAATCTCCACCTTAGACCCAGCCTGCACACTTCTTCACTTTGCCCTCCCAGACTGTATACTGGTTATGCTACGGAGAATATGACCACTAAACCAGCATCAACATCTGTCAGTGCTGCCTTCTCTTACGAAAAGTCTCACGAGGTCTGTCTAGGACAAAGATCCCCAGAGTTGTGTCAGGAAGGCAGTTCTCACCTGAGAACAAAGATGCTGAAGAAAGGAGACACCATATACTAATGTATCATTTAATTGGGATGCTTCCAGGAGCAAAAAGACTAAGAGTCACTTAAAAGATCAGGGCATTTTCCATTGGCTACTGTGCTACAGTGCTTGTCAGTTATAGTAACCTTGTTTCAGCTAGGAGTCCATCACAGTGGATGCTTGAGGTGCTTCTCCACCTTAGATTTGCTGCTGAAAAAGTTTAATTAAGGTGGTTCTTGCCTTCCCTCCTTGCCAAATGCTCCCTTTTCTGTCACACCAATGTAACTCTTTCTGAAGCTGTATTTCGAGACAGGACCAGGGAAATGATTCAGGTTGAGAACAGCAAGAAAATACATGCAGATTTGTTTTAGCCATTACAACAGGGTTACCCTGAATTTCATCTGCACGTGGTTAAATGGTACCTTTCTGTTTTCAGAGAACATTACTTGACTATTTTAACATTCATACACCTTCAGCATTACACCCATCAGGTCTGCTTAGCCTATGCATCACAACAAAATGAAAAGTCCACTTGGTTTCTATAGGTTACAGCATCCAAGAATATAGAACCAAAGGGATGGCAAGACAGCAGCGTGAGTCAGTATCTACAGTATTACAAAGGGAAAAAGCTTCAAAAGACTTTTAGTTGTCTGTTCACCTACCACAGCTCTCTGAAGCACATGGAATTACCAGATTAGCCCAGCGGTAATTTACACAGTTCCTCTGAATTAACCAATTCAAAACCCAACAACTTTACAGCCAGGAGCATCTTAGTGATGCTCAGGCTTCCCATCTAACATTCAGCCTTTGGCAAGGTACCTGCTTGGTACTCCAGGATAAGATGGAATTCATCTCTTTCCTGCATGGATTCAGGTGGCACAACCACATTGTCATCAAGTAGTTCATGGAGTTTAGGACCAACTGGGCCACAAAGGAGGATCTAGGAAACAAGAAGAAACAATCCAGGTTTCCCCGCCACGTCCTTTGCCACCATTTCAGTGCATTTAAGCATCACCGAGAAAATTGATTTTAAAGAACAATCATTCCATTTTAAAAAATCAGCATGAAATTTTTGGAACGCATACCTTCAGGTCTGGATTTGTTGCAAGCTTCTGGCCAATGAGAGCAGCATTTCCTCCTACGTAAAGCTGTAAAACGAATAGAGGCAGGTGTGGGCATTCCCTTGCTTCGATAGCTTTATACATGCTTAGTCTTCAGTACAGGCTAGAGATTTTAGCATGTTAGAAGAGGATCTAGCATTACAGCAGTTAATAAAGCTTCTTGAGGCTGAAGGCAAAACAGTTTTACAATTTGCTGTGAGATCTCAACAAGTTGAGTGTTCTCTGACTTTTTAAAATCTAAACATTCGCCTTCAGGTAACAGCCCTGTAAAAATCAATTCAGTCGTAACGTAAACAGCCCCTACTTCTGTGCCACTTCTCTGTGGCAGTTGGTAACTTGTGTTTTTTTAGCATGGCTAACAAACAATCATATAAAAACTGCAACGATACTTCCTCCACCTTGAAGTCAAGGATAAACCTGCTACTTGTGCCCACACGATGTGAGCAGAACCATTAAAGTTTCTTCAGGTAAGAAAGGTCAAACTTTCAAGTAAGAAAACTCTGATGTGAGCTCTGAAACCAAAGAATACAGATAGTCATGAGGATCACAGGCACTTGGAGGTGACAAAAAACAAGCTACAGAAGGATACAGCTAATAATCGGGTGATTCCAGAAAGCCAACCTAGAAAATGTGGTGAGAAACAAGTCAACACAGGAGTCTTGACCAATAAAGGGCATTTAGAGCTCTTCCTCTTTCCTTTTCAGCAGCAGCCAGCAAATTGCACAGAAGGTAGCATTGAACAGTTTCTAGAAATGAGCTAACTGCCAAGCAAGGTATCCGGCTAGATTTGGAAGACCCAGTATAAATTAAAGCACTAAAACTTTGGTTTTGGAAAGGAAGGCTTCAGAAAAAATATCTATTTCTTTTTCTTACTCCTAGAGAGAATTTAAATCCTGTGTTAAGTAGCTGAAGCTGACTGGAGTGTTTACAACTCCTAAAGCCTGGATCTATGTCCTCACTTCCCTCCTCATTACAAGATGTTAGAGCCTCTTTTACAGCGTCAGCCCCATCTAGCTCCCATGTAACAGTATTCTTAGAGGCATCTTTGACATTTCTGTTTTGAGAAAGTAAGCAGGGGACAGACCAGTTAAAACCCTACCACTTGCATCAGGTGCAGAGTTCCATGGAAAGTCATCAACACGCCCAAGCTATACCTTAAGTTTCTCTCCTAAACGATTTGCACTCTCACTAGACAGAGAATGGAAGTCACCAACGACGCAGAAAATAAGAAACAGGTTTCTGAACACTTTTCTTCATGTGGAAGACAAACCTGTGCACCAGGGTACTCGGAGGCTGTCCGTGCAATGTGATGGAAAGATTCGGCGTCGCTGAAGAAGCGCTCGGCAGCTGCCCCTTTTCCCATGAAGTGAGCGAAGGCTTCTTTCAGGTCCTGCCCGGAGTTCAAGACCGCGTGATTTTTTCCGTCCCCAGGTTCAAGACCGAGCGCCTCTAACAACTTCACACCGGACAGAACCACGTCTACGCAGGCGTTGACACTGGAAGAGAGAAGGAAAATGCATACTGGGAAAAGGGCACGTACCTTAGGGCACTGGCGAGACAATACAGTGAGATCACATCCCAGCCAGTCATGGTTGTTGTTCGCAGCCCTCGCGCGAAGGGGGGAAAACAACCAACCAAATGAAAAAAACCCACAAAGGCATATGAACTTCCTGAAATTCTCTACTAAAGCGCTCTCCTTTTGACATGGTGTTATTGCGCTCTAGCACTGCAGAGGAGACAGGGATTTCTAACATTCTGCTGAATTAAAACAAGAAAGGGTAATAAGCTGTGTGGTCCAAAGGTGTTGATATGTTGCAGTACATGTTGTACTTCATCTGCTGCCTCAGGCTTGCTCCAAAAAAGAATAGGCACAGTAAGACCAGCACTTTAATTATTAAAGTAGCTTTTCAAAAATATATATATTTCAGGTTTAAAATGTACATGGCAATTCAAAACTGTTAAATAGAAAACTGAAAGTATTTAAGTCTACTAGATCAGCCTCTTAAGTTTCAGCTACTCCTAACAAGAACCAAAAACACCAACACAAACACCCCACACATAGGCTGGTTCTGTTTATAAGAAGTCAAGAGAGCAATCTGCCAATAGAAATATTTGTCAACTACAGTTTCAGAAGGACCATCCCAAATTCCCAGAAATAGCATGCCACCTTCTCTCAAACAGCGGAAGCAGGAGAAAAATCCTGCAATAGTTAGGAAGAGATAAGAACCATTTCTGCAGATCTAGACTTTATGTAAAGTCTAACCTGCATTTCAAGTCTTCCAATCTCCATTTCTTATCCATTACATCAATTTAAACACAGTCTAATTTAGATAAGAGAACAGGAAGATTTCTGGGCTGGAACTAGGTCCCCAGAAAGAAAGTTTAAGAACACTCGCCCTTGTTTCTACTCCTTGGTCTTGGAGAGATAGCAATATATACCAAATATTTACTGAAATGATACCAGAAATTACGAAAGCATCCCCTGGAACTGCTGTCAAGTGCAATTTCTGTTCCTCAGCCCCAAGCTTTCCTGACAGGATCCAGAAGATCTAGAAAACTTTTCCAGGATCTCTAACTTACTCCGTGTCTGCCCACACTACATGATACTCCAAATGCCAATTCCCGCTTACACGTCAGCATGAAACACAAAGCCACTTAGTATTCCTCCTTATCGGTGACCTTTCACGCATGATTTGGGCCACAACACATGAAGGCAGCATCATACAAAATAAATGACATTAACAAGCCTGAGGCTTTTCAATACAAGAGGTAAACCACTCAGAGATCCTCCGTATTGTGCATCCTCTCATTTACCAAGGAAAGAAAAATCTTCTTGCACAGCAGAGGCAAGAAAACCAGGTAAACAATAAGCTCAAGCAGCATTTTAGCCCCAAACTCACTGTGGCAAAAGATCAGCAATTTTCTATTTTAATGAACCATTAAAGATGCAAGGGGACATAAACCAAGTCACAGTTCTTTCAAGTGAGACACCTCTAATCATCTTCCAACTGTCTTCTCCCTCCCTGCCATTCCTCTGCTAACATACCTCATGCTTTTAATAAACTCCCTTAACAGCAGGGATATGCTATTAATGAACTGCATTTACTGTTGAACTTTGAGTTTGGTGTGTGTATATATTTTTTTAATATATATATATATATATATATTCAGTCACTTTAAAGCAAAGAAGAAAGCAAGGAACAAACTGAAGATACATGGCTCTTTTCCAGCAAAGGCATGGCAAGAGAGAAGACTAAATGAGGCACTGGAAAACCGATTGTGTCATATATTCACTGGAGAAAGTCTGCATCAACTGCAAGGCAAGAGCAAGACTGACTCCAACGAACACTGTATCAGCGACACAGCCATTGAGGCAGAATAACTTCTTCCAACACTTGAAGGCTTAATCCTCTAGTCAGTCAAGTTATCCTGTCCTGTCCTTATATTTAAAAGAAAGTGAGTCAAGCTCTATATATAAACGGCAAGATTAATGGTCAGACTTAAAACCAGCATTTAAGATCAGTGTGATATTCTTGAACTTTCCCTTTGCCCTCTTTCCGGTTTAAAGAGAGAAAGGGTGTTGGATTTCCCTGTGCACACACAAGTGTCTTCAATATCTATTGCTTTCTCCTCTCCCTTCCTCCTTCATCTCTCTCCTCTGCATCTCTGCCTTGACTCGGTTAGTTCTCCCCTATTGTGAGGGCTCTGCTCACTTCTCCACTTTATAAACTTGTGTCTTTCGTACCTATTTATTGGAGGACTGTGCTCCCCAGTTGATCCTTCCTCAGGATGGGCCAGCAGCTCCACATCCCTCAGACTCCGTATATAAATTTGTTTTCCAGGCAAGCCAGCCAGGGAGAAGGTCTCCAGAGACAGGCTTACCAACAGGGCCTGAACCATGCAGCACGCTTCCATCACCAATACGTGAGTTTTCTGGACCATTAATCCCCTCAGCCGAGGTGCACCTCTGACTGAGCAACGCAGCGGGCAAGCGCGCGCGTTCGCCGGTGGCTCTGTCGAGGAAGTGCCCTCACCTGGGAAACTACAGGCCTGGAAAACGAACAGGGAGGCTTAACGAACAGGGAGGTTTAACGAACAGGGAGGTTTAACGAACTGGCGGGAGCTCGCCGGCCGTGTTGGTGTGAGGTGTCGCAGCGCAGCGCCGCCTCGCGCTCCGCCATGAGCTGAGGGCGAGGGTCACCTCCTGGGTCCCTGTCGGGCACCCCCAGCCTGCCCAGCAACTGGCGGGAGCAACTCAGAGCAACCGATGGTGGCAGGCGGGAGAGCGCAGACCCAGATATACACATACACGCGTACATACACATATATAGAGATATATAAAGAGAGAGACGCAGCCCGGCCCTGAGGAAGGGGCGCCCGCCCCGCCCCGCCACCAGGGGCGCTCTTTTCCCGCCCCGCCGCGCGCTGCCGGCACCTACCCGACGGCGACGCGCGCCCATCCGCGGGCCGGGCGGACGATGGCCGCCTGCCAGGCCGCCACCATGCGGCCCTCGAGGGAGCGGGAGCGGGCGCGGGCGCGGCGCAGCCCCCCCAGCAGCGAGGCGGGGAGGTGCCGCAGCGCCGAGGGGGGCAGCTCGGGGCCCAGGAGGCAGAGGTAGCCCAGCGCCAGGGCCAGCAGGCCCACGCACACCGACCTCTGCCACATCGCGGGGCGGCCGCGGAGGGAGGCGAGCGGCAAGCGGAGGGGGGGAGCCTCCTTACGCCGCCTCCGTAGCGCCCCGCCCCCGCCGGCAGCCGGCTGTCGTAAAGCCGCTTCGGGAATCGAGGCGGGCCCTACGCGAACAGCGCGGGCGCTTCCCCCCCAGCGCAACCGACGTATCTCTGGGAGGTACGGCGGCGCCGCCGGCGTAACTCAGCTACGGGAATAAGGCGGGAGAGGTTGCGCCAGCGCGGCGGCGCTTCGTGAGGGGAAATGGCGGGTGGGAGGATGGGGGAGGGAGCGGGTCCATCACCGGCATCGCCGCGCCACAGGGCCTCCGGGGAATAGCCCGGGTCTGGCGCGGCCCCGGGAGCCGGGGGCGGGGAGCCTGCAGCGAGCGGTGCCCTGGTGCTGCGGCAGGCTGCGTAATTTCTGCAGGCTGGTAACCGCGCTACTAGCACTCAGCTGAAGCCCTTCTGTGGACATCGCGCCTGCACGCTCCTCTGTACGTTGTACTGCTTCATCCTCCCCTCCCTTGGCTTCTTCCTCACGGTGCCCCTTTTACTCTGCTCCTTGCTGCCCAGCGCCCTTGTGGGTCTGCGTGTTGTATTTCTACTCCGTCTGCCCTGTCCTCTACCTCCTCTGCTCTGCCTCACGCCAGAGCCTCTGTTTAAACAGCTTGTGTCCAGCAAACCAATCACTGACCTGAAGCAAATCACTTCCCTAGAGTATATTCTTTCTCCCTCTGTAGCACAGGTTCTGGTCTCGGTGTCTTTCATGCCTTCTCCAGGGTGAGTTAACTTCCATCAGATCTCTGCTCACGCTCCCCCCGAGGCAGCCTGTGCAGGGAGCAGTGGGAGAGAGCGTCCTTTGTTTCAACCCATCAGAGAGGTGGTGTAGCAAGTCAAAAGGGAGGTTTCCCTTTTTAATGAAAGGGAGTTTTTCTGGGCTTCTTTAGAAATAGAAACATTAGCTCTAAGACGACAAAATTTGCAAGAGTTTGACAACTGTGCGGCGCAGTGCGTTGGCTGAGGCAGCTGATAATTTTCTTACTCAGTTCTGTGTTGTGAGTGATTGTCATCTCCTTTGACAAAACAAACAGTAAAGGAGATGGGATAGCAGAAGGCTTTTTGTTTGTTTTGTTGTGGTTTGTTTTTTTTTTTTTTCTTTTTAGAATGCAAGCATCGGTATTCAGTCAACTGGGCATCTACAGAAGCCGTTCTCATGAGTTCATGACTGGCCCTCAGGGGTCATTTGGCTGCCCCTCAAGTTCCCTTTCTTTCTAGTCCTTACCAGAAAGGACTTCCTCATTTTTTTTTTTTGTTTTTTCCTGCTCCTGTGGGGTTGCTCCTCAGAGCAAGCAAAGACTGAGGGAGCAGAGGTGAGCAGGACAGGCAGACAATGGGGGATGGAATTGATAGGGAAGGAGAGAGTGAGAAAAAGCCTCCTCACGTGGCACGTGCAGGTGATGTTCAAGGACACTGACTGGTTTTACGAGCTTAAAGCGTTATGATAATGCAATGATTTTTAAAACCAGAATCCTGAAGACAAACTAGATGCCTAGTCACCTTCCCTATTCTTCAGGAAATCCTTCAAACAGTTATTTCTCCTCAAATAACTACCTGCTTAAGTGCCCTGCAAAAGAGTGATTATCTTCATCCTCTCTCAGACCTGTGATCAGCCCACCAGAGTTGGGCTGTTAATATATAATCCCCTTTTTCCTTTGCTCAGGTGGTCTTTGGGTTTTGTCAGTAGGCTTTTTCATTTGAACAAATTTACTCTTTTTCCCTTCGGCACTTTTCCCGCTAGTGTTTGATCTATATGTGATTATGAAATCTCGCTTGCTTCCATACTCTTGAACTCCCAGGGGTATCGGCCTGTGAGGCTCTCACAGTTATAAACAGCCCTCCAGTTCAAGGAGGCAATGCTACGCTGTGTGAGAACAAACCAAATACCTGCCAGAACCTCTCGCTGCTCGCTACAATCAGGTCTTCACCTGTGGGAGCGTGTGTATTTATAGCCTTGTCACAGAACATCATAATTAGACGTGCCCATAAGGCAGCCACAACCCATAGCATTGCCACAGCTTGGGGACCCCGTTATTGGTACTGTGTCAGCAGCGGGTTAGGCTGCAAGCAGATAACCTATCTAAAGCAGCAATACTTTGGGGAATCAAGCCATGGTTCCATTTTGGGGTGATTAGTTTTTCATCTGAAGCTAATGTGGTGTTCTGTGGTGTTGCCCTGAAGACTAAAGTTGTATTTGTTAGTCCTGTAATAGCTACAGTTTCCACATCAATAAAATCAAAGCTGCTCAGGAGGAACCACTGCTACTTGGTTGCCATAAACTGCTGGTGTTCAATCTCCATGAACAGTTTTGTTGGTGGACTTGAATTAGACTGCAGATTTAACTGGAAGATTTGTTTTATGGTCTTCATTCCTGCCAACAAAAAGAAAAGGTTTAGAAAAAGAAAAGAGGTTCGCTCAGAGAACCTGTTTGGTTAAACTGCGTTTCCTTGGTCAACATTTCTTTTAAGCCAATGCAGATCTAGATTTGCCTCAGACAGTCAAACTAGAGGTGAAACTAAGAACTGAAGTTCAGCTTCCCATGAGCCACCCAGCACTCCATCAATTTTAGTTAGAGGTAACGGAGAGGGGCACGGGGCTGTTGGATTTGTAGACGTTGACTTGGGCTGAGTAAAAGATATTAATTAAATTTCTATTTAATTATGGAAATAGCAAGCTGATTACTTCTGGTTAGTGCTGTGTGTCATTTCAAAGATATGACACACTGATTTAAAGAGTTTTCACTGGAATACTTTTAGTAAAGCGTAGGAAGAGAAAGGTGAGAGTTAGTGGATTTTAGAATGGAAAGAGTTAAATCAAAACTTAATGTCAACAATTTTCCTGTGTTTCTTCTCCCTGGATACATGGAGTCCTTTGTGTAAGAAATCCTTTTTGTGACACTACTTCATGGTATGAGCTGCTTGTGACTGCGGGTGGGGGTGGTAGAGGGACAGTGGTTTTAATCATTCTTCAGTTATTGGAAGCGGAACTTGTTCCCTTTAGCAAAAAAAAAAGAAAAAGGGGGGAAAAAAGGTTTGTCTGCAGGAGGCAGACAAAAGATGTGTTTTCTTGCTCGTTTGAAAATTAGCTATAGAGAGTTGCACACATGGCACACGCTCTCAGCAGCCACTCAGAGCCGACAAACCTTTATGCGTGAGCTTTTTAATGACCTTACTGCATTTGCTTTTCTGACCACAGGCTCTGTCTTGAGAAATGGGGGGTTTGCCAGATGCTTATTAGGCAGGAGGCAAGGGGAAAGGGGATGAAGATGGGCAAGGGGAGGAAATAGCAGGGAGGAGTGAAAGCCAAAGCTTCCAGTTCCCAAAGGAGCTATGAAGACCTCTTTTTCTTAGTTTGAACTCCCAAGCTTGAAGCAATTGTCTTTAGTCCTTGTTAAGTTGAATTTACATATTCAAATCAACTCATTCCCTATGACCTACTTTGGCCAGCTTAAACTGTAGGCCTGTGCACAGTGCGGAAAGGGGAGGAGTTTTTTTTCAAACTATGAATTCCTGTATTGTTGCTGGGATCGGTCATGCGTATCTGTAATGCCTGGGATCGAATCTTTAGCTGTAGCTAATAAACATTAGGCAGTACTTGGGGCAGGATTTGCATTGCAGATGCTTGCAATCCTGTTACCTCCTGTCCTATCCAACATTCCCATCTTTTTACTGCTTCTCTCTGTGTTCCCCAAGCTTCATGAAGTCAGTTACTCAGGTTTTGTGTGTCCAGCTCACTCATTTACGTGTCATCATGCCTTCTCTGCTATCAGACTTCTCCCTGAAATCTCACCATCCTTCAGTCTTTGATTACGGGCCTCGTTTAATCTGAACTGGAAACTCTTTACAGTGGGAACCATATATCAGTCCATATACATGAAATGAGTGTGTACAATTCTGCTGCTTGCCCTGTGACATTTAATGAGAGCCAACAGCAGAATACATGGGTGTGAGTGGTCGCTACTGGCATGTCTTCACTGGAGGAGGGGTAGGAAAAAGTGGAAGGTAGGCTTTTTGGATGGATCCAAATAAAGGCCTGGAAAATTCAGAAGATGAAAGTTTGTGCTGAGCCATGCAGATGAGCAGAGTAACTCTAATTAAAATACAGACTCTGTGTTGTTCTCAGAAACTGGGCAACATTCCCCATCTGAGCTCTGCCAACGTATCTCAATCCTGGACTTCAGCACCCACTGCTGCTCTGCTCTGTAAAACACCCACTCAGCTTGGCCAGCGCATCTCAATCTTGATCTGTAACACCTCATGCTGTTCCAATTCTGAGCCCTTTTTGAGCAGAAAATGCCATCTCTCTGCTAAATTGTGCCAAATTGCTTAGATTTGGCTGCAGAACTCATTTTCACTTGTCACCTAACGGGATACCTGGAGACTTTCATCTAGCACTGTCAGCAACAGAGGAAAAAGAACATGTGAATACCCAGCCCCCTGCTAAGTCCCCTAATTATATAGTGATGTGTTAATAACAAACACACTTTCATGTCTTGGCAGTTGCAAAACACTCCTAGGTAGCGCAGTGCTTCAGAAGTAGAATTGCACAAAAAAAGATGCAAGTCCCAGTTTAAATTACTTAATTAGTATCAGCATAGTCTGTACCCAGAATTAGAGTTTGGAAGAAATGCCTAGTAGGAAGCTGTCAGAGGCCAGTTGTTTGGATGTTCTGCAGAATCTGAACCACCACATTAGAGAGATTTGCTGTTGCAGAAGTGAGTATTTCTGCGCCGAGAATCTCTTTTTCCCTCCCACCCTGCCTCATGATTATAAATCTGCCTTCCTTGGCGGCCTTGCCATCTTCTGTTTTTTTGAGAACTCAGCAGTGGAGGGTGGAATGGCTTCCATCTTGGCTGAGGCACCAGGGCTGGATCCAAAATTATGCATTTCTTTCAATTTGAGCCAAATTGCTGGATTTTGCAGCGCTGCTTGCTCACACCCTGTGGTGATCAGCCTGGCTTCCAGCAGAACACAGAGGAACTGGAGCAAGTCTGAACCACCACGCGTGCTGGTGAGCACC